ATAGGTTTCTTCCTCTTGTGACCCCAATGTTATAAATCAAAATTTGAAAGTATTTCGTTAAAAAAGCTAATATCGCGATCACAGGGTGTTTGCATAATGGATATTAACTCACCACGAAAGATTCTATAAAGTTGAAAACCAATGACCAGAATGACCGACGGACAGGGTGCGGACCTTGTGTCGGTGTATCAAAATTGTCTGTCATGAGATAAGAGAAAACGAGCAAAATAGAAAATGTTTGTTCATTCCCTAGTTTTATCAATTCTCTATTTAGATATTTATTTATAATAATACGACTTTATCCATAGGATTTCTTGAATAAACTATAATTATCGCTTGGAATGTGAAAGTAGAGAAATAATAAAATCAAGGGAATGCTCGAACTATTTCTATTTTCTCACGTTTTTTTTATCTTGTGACCGTCAATTATTTTATGAATAGGGAAGCTTCGGTGGTGTTGGCCGAGAAAGTCCATCGGGATTTTCCGTCGTGGTGTAGGACGGACGGACAGACAGGGTCCCGTGTACACATTGGCGTGCACTTAAAATATCCCTTGGTAGCTGGAATTCGATAGCCCGTAGTGTAGCTGTCCGGGCAAAATGTCCCTCATAGTACACTGTGTGGCGCATACCCGTCTTCATTTATAAATGTTTCGAACAGATGTTTGTCTTGGAAATAATTATCAGTGACCTGAATATCGACCTATATCGGTATGTCTCTCTACTTCAATAGTAAGGATAACTCATGTTTTCCTTTCTTTGCGTCACTTCCCGTTTCTTCAAATCTTCGTTACGCAACTATCGTAGCGAAGAATTCAAAGTATATTTGGGGTGTGCTTAACCAGCACTATCACATATTGGTGGACACCAACATTCTCCTTTAAGGGGGATAATCTGACACCTGCTAAAAACGTTATTGGCGACGTTTATTGAGGGGAATTTAACACATGCTCCTGGCGTTATCGGTAACGTTTATTTAGATGAATGTAACACACGCTATAGACGTTATCGGTACCTTGCCCGAAGTTCATAAAGCGAACCGAAAACGTTCTAGGGCAAATTAAATTCGTGCCATAAATAAATTTTTCACAGCTGAGGTGAAGTGAGCAATGTGTTACGAGAACATTCCAGAAACATTTCCTAAAACCATTTGACGTTGTTGTTGTTAGTGTTTAACGTCCGCTTCGACCGAAGGTGATATCGCAGACAAGTTGTCTTTTTTTTATTTTCATTATCTTAGCGCACGCGCAGGGGTCTTTCCTGTGGGAGGAAACCGGAGTACCCGGAGTAAACCCACGAGGTTGAGCAGGCGCCCCTATCTCCAAGCCACATACGCTCACACCAGGGATCGAAACCACAACCGCAAGCCAGAGGTGATCGGCCAGCTAGAGGTCGAAGCTTGACACTCTGGACCACTAGGCCATCCCCCCCCCCATTTGACGACTTGTAACAATACTTAAATACCTGTTAAATTAACGTATCCGGAAACGGTTGTAAATAACGTTGGCTAACCACCCAAAACATAACCATATCTTATGTTTACCCATAGTTAACATGGCTATATCTAGTGTTTGCCCATACACTATTATTATTATAAAAATCTGTTATTATTATATTGAACATAGCTATATCTTGTGTTTACCCATATTGAACATTATATCCAGTGTTTACCCATATTCAACATAACTGGTATATCTTGATATCTTGTGTTTACTCACATTGAACATAGTTATATCTTGATATCTTGTTTCTACCCATATGGACCATATATATAAACTGTGTTAGGGATTAAACATGGCGACCTCCACGGAAAGTTTGACATTGAACGAACCTTGAACTTTGCAACTCGATTATCACAGGTAGACATTTCAGCTAGAAAGCGCGATGATCGAGAAATCTGATAGGCTCCCAGTTGGGTCGGTAGCCGATCGAAATGACCACCGAAATATGCAGGGTATTGCGTGAAGGACTTGATCAAATGTACGGAGTTAAAGCGAGATTAAGCTCAAGAATCTTATAACGAATTCATGAAATGATGGTTATGAATAAAATGACTATGTTAAATATATTACTGTTTTAGCCAAATCACAAACTTATGAAATGGAATGGGTTTTAATGAAATGTTTTCTGAACCAATGATAAAATTACAAACCGGGACACTTTAGATTCTATATAATGCTATAGCATAAATCGGGACAAAAAATGGATCCACTAAAATGTTCCATGGGGTCTAGTGTTGTTGAATGACAGGCCCTATGTTACAGCGCGCACTAGCTAACCATTGCCACCCAAAACCCTATTTATATATGAACATATGAAATACTTAGACTAACGCTTTGCTATTAGGCACTAAATTTATTTCAGAATGAACACAAAATGAGTTGGCAGGAGCAAATACTTTCAGATTCAAAATACAAATATGTTGTTTAAAATATAATGAATGAAATACGAATGCCAAGCTTCATGATGACCCATTCAGAATTGTGGCCTGTATACGTTAAACACAAAAATTGGGCGTGACTCTGCCCCTGGGGGGCGGGACATGCCCCCAAATCAATAGTTGCTGTCATTGGTCTTATATGCCAAGTTCCAAAACGATTATTTCAGAATTGCAGTGTGCAGGCAACACACAGACACGCAATGTACACATTGGCGTGCACGTACAGGAACCCTTGACAGTTGGAATTCGAATAAAAGTAGGCTGTAGAACCACTGCCCGGGCAAATTTCCCCTAACCCTAACCCATTAGCCCTGTCTGAGTAGGACGGTAAACCCCATTTTTTTTTCATTTTCATTTTCATTTCACTCGATTGTCAATATTTTGTGACTAAGAGAATTCAATCGGGTATCATCGAGGTTGTCGGCAAAGATGGAATAACTCCGGAATGCACACTCAAAAAACTTAATGATTAAGGTGTGACTCCTCTCACGACCACGATTCTTGACACCAAATTTGAAAACGATCCGTCAAAATCTGCAGCGTCTGTTTGGTTCACAAGGGTTTACCAGTAAGCTGGGTATTACTCTGAAAGGGAAAGTTGTTGAATACCGATAGGACTCGCCCTCTCCTCTCATGAACGCTATGCGTCAAGCCTATTTTTAAAGAAAACTGTTATACATTGTAGCTCCACACTAAATTTGAAAAAGATCCGTCAACACCTATAGTTTTTATTTCGTTCACAAGGTTTAGGACAAACCCTCTCATGAACGAATTGCTTCAAACCAAATGGGAGGCTATTCCGGAACGGAAAGTCGTGGAAAGCTGAAAATCGACAGGTTTTTCCGATTCGTAACTTCAGTACTTAAACCAAATTTGAAAATGTTTCGTTAAAAAAGCATAAGGGGTTCTCCCTGTCATGGCCAGGTTGCTGCATATTAAATTTAAAAAGAATCCGCCCAAAACTATAGCCTCAACCAGGTTCACTAGTCAATTATAGACGGGCCGACTGACAGGCGGGCCGGGGGGGGGGGGCACTGTCCATTGACTGTCCATTGTTTTTGTTAATTCTCTATTTAGATATTTATTTATAATAATACGACTTTATCCATTGGACTTCCTGAATAAATTAAAGTTATCGCTTGGAATGTGTAAGTAGAGAATTAATAAAATTAAGTGAATGCTCGAACTTTCTCCATTTTCCTGTTATCTTTTTATGAATAGTTTGTTTCGAACGGCTACCTCCCGACAGTCTTTATAACAACAGTTTGTCTCTCTACTTCAATAGTAAGGATAACTCGTGTTTTCCTTTCTTTGCGTCACTTCCCGTTTCTTCAAATCTTCATTACGCAACTACCGTAGCAATGATATATGAGTTAAAATTATACCTGTAGTGTGCTTACCCAATTCTATCATATACGTACGGAGCCCCTCAAGGTGCACGATTCCACTATTATATAATTATTTCGTTTAAGTGAGTAAGTGAGTAATACATATGTCGTTATAACGAATTAATATTTCGTCATTACGAATTAATATTTCGTTACAACGAATTATTATTGAGTTTAAACGAATTAATTTCATAAGAGTAGAATAGGTCACGATATATTTATATAAAAGTGAAATCTTGCACTTAATGGGCTCCGTACAGGCGTTATCGATAACAATTATTGGGATGAATGTAACACATGCTATAAAAATGAAATGAAATGGGGTTTAACGTCCTACTGTTTTGCTCCTAAACTGGGATAATGAAGACGGGCATACGCCATACAGTGTGCTATGAGGGAAATTTTGCCCGGGCAGCGGCGCTACGGCCAAGGGATCTTTTATGTGCACGCCAATTTGTACACGGGACCTCGGTTTTTTGTCCCATCCGAACGACTAGACAGCTGTCTTTGCCAGGCCCCCGTCCTGCATCACTGACAAGGGGAAACCACGCCGGAAAATCTGGATGAACTTTCTCAGCCGATGCAGGGATCGAACACCCGACCTCCAGGCTAGCGAGCCAGCGTCTTACCCACTTAGCCACGTGATCCCCACGCATGCTATAGATGTCATCGGTACCTAACTGGGAGTAAATAAAGCGAACCGAAAAAAATTCTGGGAGAATATTTAATCCGTGCCACAAATACATTTTTCCCAGTTGCGGTCAAGCGAACAGTGTGTTATGGAAACGTTCCAGAAACATTTTCTAAACCCATTTGTACCACTTAGGATATTACTTGCTATGAATCTAACAGTAATGTTAGAGTAACGTAACCTAGAACTTTTGTTAATAACGTTGACTAACGACCAACTGACACAACTATATATTTCGTTTACCCAAATTGAACATATCTATATATAACGCTTACCCATATTGAACATAACTATATCTAGCGCTTACCCGTATTCAACAGACCTACATCTTGATGTCTTGTGCTTACCCCCATTGAACATAGCTATATCTTGTTTTTACTCATATGGACCATAGGGCTATCTTGTTTTACCCATATGGACCATAGCTACGCTTATATCTATGGAGCTGTTTTAGGGTTAAGAAAATAAAATTAAAACTATGATTGCAAGCAGTGTATTTAATACTATTAGTTGATGGTATACGTATATCATGTATAAGTGTTTGTGTATTGAATACTATTAGTTGATGATATATACGGTGGTGTAGACTATCTTTACATTATCCACCGCTCATGACTTATCTAGACTGTTGGTTCTCCACCAGTTGGTGATGGCGGTACCGTGGGAGCTGTAACTAGAAGAGGAGGACAGCTTGCTTTTCTAGTACGACCATTGAACCAAATAAAATACAAAGGTTGACAAGTACAGGCAATATCACCAATATAAACTGTACCATTATCAGGAATAATATGTGTAACTCCATTTAGGACAGCTTCACAGTTAGGACCTGTTACAAAGTCAAACATATTAATAGTAATTCGTTATCCAGACCCCATACCTACAAATCTATCGATCTATTTTATCAATTATATCTAAAATTATTAATCAATCTCTTTCATCTGGTCACTACCCTCAAGAACTAGTAGAAACCATTGGCAAACCATTCTCTTTCATCTGGTCACTTTTCCCAAAAACTACCAAAAGCCATTGGCAAACCACTCTTAAAGGAATCAAAATTGGATCCAAATATTCTGGTTAGTAATCTGTCTTCCATTCCAAAACTAATGGCGAGGTTTGTTCTACATCAGTGAAATAATCATATTTATTCCAACAACCTCGACAATCTATTACAATCGGCCTAAAAACAATACCACAGCGCAGAATCTACTTTACAATCCATTACAATCGGCCTAAAAACAATACCACAGCGCAGAATCCGCTTTACTCAAAAACATGGGCATGTTCTGAACATATTTTCTTCGTTTATAAATCTTTTTAAAGATAGATTATGTAAGATTTAGATAATGCCATAATAGCTCAACAATAGAATATGTAAAATGAAAATATTGAAAATTTCATTCAAATTACTTCATTCTGAGCTACGTTATCACTGTTTGTAGTTTTGACAAGATGTGTGCACAGTGGTAACCAGGGCACTGTTATATTCGAGACTTAGCCTCACTTTCCCATTTTTAAATTAAATTTTTAAATGGCGAAGCTTCATAATCCAGTTAAAATCTCGAGTATCCGATTCCATTGATAGTTGATTATGGTCTTATTTTGTTAACAAATGTCTAATTAATAGTTTATATAACATTACAGGCCTAAAAAAAGATCTGCAATAGGCTAAAGTAGCTAAGTCTTTAACTCAATATCATCCACGGTCATCGACATTGCAAACACCACTTATTGGTCTATGTAAATCAACATTGACGTTGTTATCGTACCGTGAAAAGGTTGGATTCTGATATCCGATATCTAAGACACCGTGAACATTTTCAAATGCCCGTGAGACTAAACATATCCCAGGGGCAAATACTCGCGAATACTATTAGTGTAGACTGGAATAACCAGATGACAAAGAATGGTATCCCAGGGGCGAATACTCGCGAATACTATAGCTGTATACTGGAATAACTAAACGTCAAACAATGCTACTCAATTGGGACATAACCGATTAGTATCACCCCATGTATATTAAAATAATCTGAGATATGTACGTAGTCAAATTATCCTGACTCGCATTGAATACGTTACCATAGTACCTGGAAGGAATCATATGTTAGTCTCATCTTACTGTAGTGACAGATAAGACCATTGGGTACTTAAACCACCGGTCTGGTGACTGTGCTGGTGGCCAGTTGACTATAATTAGTGATGGATATTGTGCAGGAGATAGTTCATGTTTTCACTTTCCAGACTTCGCGGTTTTTCGTATCCTCCGAAATATTAGACAGTTGTCCTTGTCGGGCCCTCATTCCTGCACCACCGACAAGGAGAAACCACGTCGGAAAATCCTGATCAACTTTCTCGGCAGGGATCGAACACCCGACATGCAAACTAGCGAGCCAGCGTCTTACCCAGTTGGTCACCGTGGCTCCCTCTCGAAATAAAAGTCGACTGTAGCTCGTTGTCCGGGCAAAATTTCCCCTCATAGCACACTGTATGGCGCGACAGCCTCTCCCCCACTTGGTCTCCGTAGCCCAAAAATAATACGATGTTGTATTAAGAAAAATATCTTACCATTAGGGCATGTCGGACAACATTTACCATCATGAGGAATGTTAAACGAATCAACACACGGGGCGGGGTAACAATCAATAACAACTGTGGTTACTTCATACTGTGCATCGCATGTACAATAGAGACAATCTTGTATAAAATGTATCTCTCCTGGGGATATCTCCATCCCGTCCCTACAAATACATTTCGGTATAGGTGTGGTTGGTAACGGCGTTGTAGATAGCGGTGGAGGCATCGCCAACGACGATGCGGATAACATCAATATCAATACAATTTGGACAAACATTTTGGTAGCTAGTGAGATCGAGAGTAGAAATCAAAGCTTTTATCTTACTCAAGTAATTCATCAAGTCATATGGTACAAACAGACTGTCAAAATATTTATTCAAACTTACCTGAATTTCTGTCAGTTTGATACAAGTTCTGACGACGTGGTTATTTCATTGGTTTAACTTGACAATCACCCACAAAACATCAATTCGACATTGATGTAATCCTTGCAGTTAAAGGGATATCATGTAATGTTAGTTAAAGAGCTGGCAGTTCTCGATATAATAGTTAAATTATAGATAATGACAACAAATATGCTGAATATTTCAGAAAACTTACTTCACTCTGAAACGACATATTAGCGATTCAATTTTAGGCCTAGCCTCGATCGTCATTACTACCGCTGGTACGATAATAAAACTATTACATGTATCACAAAACGTATTCAAATCCAGTAAATATCGCAGGCTAGCGATGACATCGTGAGTTGCATGTGGTCTTGATAAGATAATTAATGCCCAAATAATAATTTAGATAATATTTAAGGCCTAAAGAAAGACCTTCAATAGACAGATTTAGCTCTTGTATAATGTATGTTTATAAAGTAATTGTAATGGTGAATCAGACAGTAGTTGGACATGGTTAGTACACATTGCTTGATGAAATATTTTATCCATGATCTCCAGATAGGTGTTAGGAATTTTGACGATGGCTATAAGTCATCACACCTGTAGGTAAGAAATTATAAAGTCTGACATGGTTCTGGAGTATAAGGTCTGTAATTGCGCCAAGTGGCGAGGTTTCAATTCGACGCTTGTACATGACACGGATTATGGTTGCCTCTCCAGCCTCCTTGATTTCCAGACCCCCGCTTTACTTTCACTTTTAAAGAGCCTTTTGCGCATGTGAATTATTGAAATAAATTGAACCATGTTTATCCGGAATGGATCAACTTTGTGTCGAGTGTACGATAAACCCAATCTCTAGATTTGGGAGTACCTGTTAAAGACTCACAACTACAATAGGTAGACATGTGGTTTTATTTTCAACATGCGAGTCAAAATATATCGATAGATGATTGTTTTTTAATCTTGATATTAAAACTTGGTAGACAGGCGATTTTATTTTCAACATGAATATGTCAATAGATGAATTTTTTAAGCATGACCGTTTTATTTGTCCCGTTTCGATTGAATGACAGGTGAAAGATGATATATGTTTAAATTGACAAGAACTATATAGACACCTGAAAGCTGCTGTCATCTATTAACAACAGACCTGTATGTTGATTGTCATTACCACCAGATGTTTCTGATGCTTATTCTGCATTTTATTGTTTATTGTTTAAAACGTAAATTCTTGACATCAACATAAAGCTACCTCCACCATTTCTCTCTTCTAGAAATTCCTAGGGGTTGAGTAAAGATTTGTGTGTGTGAGTTAGTTGTATTTTACGTCCGCTTCCACCAAGGTGATATCGTAGACAAGCACAGATTAGTGGTGGTGATGTTTTTAAGGATCGGGGTTATTCTGTGTGGGCTACTGCATTGATTCAAAGAAACATCTGCTTACTGACTTATACTTCAGATGATGGTAAGAATTGTGCTATGCTTTTCGTGGGAATACTAAACGGTCGTTCCGTTAGGCACAAACTCTATATCTCTTACTTCTAAATAGTCAATTAAGACGGTTGGTTAACTCTACATCAATTCTAAAATACAATGATACCAAACCGAGGTCCCGTGAACTCATTGGCGTAGGCCGTGGCGCCACTGTCCCGGCAAACTGTATGGCCTTGCCCGTCTTGAAGAACCAATACTGTAACAAGAGTTTGTGCTCTCACGACCACGATGTTTTACACCAAATCTGAACAAGATCCGTCAAAACCTATAATCTAAATTTTGTTCAAAAGGTTTACGACAAAAATGGAATTACTGTGAAAAGTAAAGTCACTGAATATCGATAGGACTCGCCCTCACAAGAACAAAATGCTTAAAGCGCATGGAAAACAGAAAATCGATAGGTTTCTTCCTCTTGTGACCCCAATGTTTTAAATCAAAATTTGAAAGTATTTCGTTAAAAAAGCTAATATCGCGTTCACAGGGTGTTTGCATAATGGATATTAACTCACCACGAAAGATTCTATAAAGTTGAAAACCAATGACCAGAATGACCGACGGACAGGGTGCGGACCTTGTGTCGGTGTATCAAAATTGTCTGTCATGAGATAAGAGAATACGAGCAAAATAGAAAATGTTTGTGCATTCCCTAGTTTTATCAATTCTCTATTTAGACATTTTATAATAATACGACTTTATCCATTGGATTTGCTGAATAAACTATAATTATCGCTTGGAATGTGAAAGTAGAGAAATAATAAAATCAAGGGAATGCTCGAACTATTTCCATTTTCTCACGTTTTTTTATCTTGTGACCGTCAATTATTTTATGAATAGGGAAGCTTCGGTGGTGTTGGCCGAGAAATTCCATCGGGATTTTCCGGCGTGGTGTAGGACGGACGGACAGACAGGGTCCCGTGTACACATTGACGTGCACTTAAAATATCCCTTGGTAGCTGGAATTCGATAGCCCGTAGTGTAGCTGTCCGGGCAAAATGTCCCTCACAGTACACTGTGTGGCGCATACCCGTCTTCATTTATGAATGTTTCGAACAGATGTTTGTCTTGGAAATAATTATCAGTGACCTGAATATCGACATATAGCGGTATGTCTCTCTACTTCAATAGTAAGGATAACTCATGTTTTCCTTTCTTTGCGTCACTTCCCGTTTCTTCAAATCTTCGTTACGCAACTATCGTAGCGAAGAATTCAAAGTATATTTGGGGTGTGCTTAACCAGCACTATCACATATTGGTGGACACCAACATTCTCCTTTAAGGGGGATAATCTGACACCTGCTAAAAACGTTATTGGCGACGTTTATTGAGGGGAATTTAACACATGCTCCTGGCGTTATCGGTAACGTTTATTTAGAAGAATGTAACACACACTATAAACGTTATCCGTATCCTGCCCGAAGTTCATAATGCGAACCGAAAAACGTTCTGGGGCATATTAAATCCGTGCCACAAATAAATTATTCACGGTTGTAGTGAAGCGAGCAATGTGTTACGAGAACGTTCCAGAAACATTTCCAAAACCATTTTGTCCACTTATAACAATACTTAAATACCTGCTACCAATTTTAACAGTACTTTTAAATTAACTTATCCTACAACGGTTGTAAATAACGTTGGCTAACCACCCAAAACATAACCATATCTTATGTTTACCCATAGTTAACATGGCTATATCTAGTGTTTGCCCATACACTATTATTATATAAAAATCTGTTATTATTATATTGAACATAGCTATATCTTGTGTTTACCCATATTGAACATAGCTATATCTTGTGTCTACCCATATTGAACATTATATCCAGTGTTTACCCATATTCAACATAACTGGTATATCTTGATACCTTTTGTTTACCCACATTGAACATAGTTATATCTTGATATTTTGTTTCTAATGGACAATATGTATAAGCTGGGTTAGGGATTAAACAAGAGAAGTACAATAAAACTAAGTGTCGGATTTCAAGCAGTTTATTTAATAGTATCAGTTGCTGGTATATCATGTAGAAGGTTTGGTGTAGAATATCCTTAAATTATCTACCACTCATGACTCATCTAGCCTGTTGGTTCTGGACCAGTTGATGATGTAGGTATCGGTGGAGCTGTACCTAGAGGCACAAAACAGTCAGCTTTTCTGGCACCATCAAACGAAGAATAATCCACAGGAAGACACGAGCAGGGAATATCACCAATATAAACTGTACCATTATCAGGAATAATATGTGTAACTCCATTTAGGGCAGCTTCACAGTTAGGACCTGTTACAAAGTCAAACATATTAATAGTAATTCGTTATTAGACCCCATACCTACAAATCTATCGATCTATTTTATCAATTACAGTATATCTAAAATTATATCAGGTCACTACAAAAAGTCATTGACAAACCACTGTTAAAGCAATCGTACCTGGATCTAGATATTCTGTCGAATAACCGACCAGTTAGTAAACTATATTATATGTTAAAACTACTAACAAAGTTCTACATTAGTTTTCTCCAATAACCTCGACAATCCATTACAATTGGCCTACAAACAATACCACAGTACAGAATCTGCTCTACAATCGGGCTATTGATCAACCGAAATGTGTTCTGTTGGTACTTTTAGATCTCTCAGTCGCATTTGATGCGCTCGGTAGCGAGCGCCTACTCGACGAAATTGTCTTGCGTCGTTCTGTTTTAACAGGTTTTAGTCATATCTAAGCAATCGTACCCAAGCTGTCGGGATTATAGATTCACCATCTGAACATAATACAATACTTTGCGGGATACCGCAAGGTTCTGAACTCGGGTCTGCACTTTTTATTATCTTAACGAAAGTTATTACTAAGATTAATGAATGCTATTGTCTAAATATTGAAATTGTATACTACATCTGTCGCAGCCCCTGATACGAAATTCTTGCTTGGGTGACATTTCTTAAATTTAAATCGAAGCAAATCCGAACTCTGTTAAATTGAAACACAGTCGTTAAATCGTGTGCGTTTTATTTCAATAAATCACTTGTGCGTAGGTGTCTTTAGCAGTGGGAGGAAACCAGGGGATCCGGAAAAACCCACGAGGTTGGACATACAAGTGGGGAATCGAAACCACGTCACGTGGCTCAATAACACATCTTCTGATCGACAGTTACGATCCCAAAAATTTTGCAACTCGATTGTGTCATGCTGTCCACCAGCCGTCAAAGAATGCTACTGATTAGTATCATAACATGTATATCAAAAAAATCGGAGATATATACGCGTTAAATTTAATGCGTTACCATGGTTACTGGAAGGAATCATATGTTAGTCTCAAATTACCCTAGTGATAGATAAGACCATTGGGAACTTAAACCAACGACCCGGTGACTGTGCTGGTGGCCATTTGATATAAGACCATTGGGAACTTAAACCACCCCCCTGGTGACTGTGCTGGTGGCCATTTGATATAAGACCATTGGGGGTCTTAAACCACCAGCCTGGTGACTGTGCTGGTGGCCTTTGACTCGGTAGTTATCGTGTACCTAATTAAGGAAAGCAAGGCTTAAACCCTCATTCCAGTTGACTATAAAGAGAGACGGGTATTATGAAGGAGATAGTTCATGGCTTCACTTTCCAGAATGGTTATTATGTTAACTATAATGAGTTACGGGTATCATGCAGGGGGTAGTTCATGTGTTCACTTTCCAGAACATCCTTGATCCCTTCTCATTTTCGGAGTTCACAAGGCTAAAACACTGTTGTAATTATGTTGTATTAAGAAACATATCTTACCATTAGGACAGGTTGGACAGCAGTTGCCATCATTTGGTACATCTACAGAATCAACACATTCAATGACGAAACAATCACCATAAATGGTAGAAACTCCATACTGTGCATCGCATTCACATATTTCACAATCTGTTACATAATGTTTCTCGCCTTGGAATATCTCCACCCCGTCCCTACAGATACATGTCAGTACAGGCGGCGTTGGGTAAAGCGTCGTCGTTGGGTAAGGCGGTGGCATCGCCAACGACCATGCTGATAACATCAATATCAATACACTTTGGACAAACATTTTGATAGCTAGTGAGAACGAGAATAGAAATCATAGCTTTTATTTTACTCAAGTAAATCATCAAGCCATATGTTACAAACAGACTGTCAAAATATTTATTCAAACTTACCTGAATTTCTGTCAGTTTGATACAGCAAGCTCTGACGACGTGGTTATTTCATTGGTTTAACTTGACAATCACGCACAAAACATCAATACGACATTGATGTAATACTTGCAGTTAAAGGTAAGCTGACAGTTCTCAATATACAGCAAGCTCTGACGACGTGCTTATTTCATTGGTTTAACTTGACAATCACGCACAAAACATCAATACGACATTGATGTAATCCTTTCAGTTAAAGGTGCATCATTAGTTAAAGAGCTGGCAGTTCTCAATATAATAATTAAACTATAGATAATGATAACAAAATATGCTGAAAGTTTCGGAAAACTTACTTCACTCTAAACCAACATATTAGCGATTCAATTTTAAGCATAGTCTCGATCGTCATTACTACCGTTAGTACGATGATAAACAAATTCTCGATTATCCATGTGTACGATAAAATATCCATCACAAAACGTATTGAAATCCCTTAAATATCGTAGGCTAACAATGGCAACGAGAGTTGATTAATGTACAATTAACACTTGTGTCGAGTGTACGATAAACCGAATCTCTCTCTCTCTCTCTCTCTCTCTCTCTCTCTCTCTCTCTCTCTTATTATCAACATGCGTGTCAAAATAATGTCGATAGATGATTGTTTTTTAATCTCGATATTAAAACTTGGTAAACAGGTGATTCTATTTTCAACATGCGAGTCAATATGTCAATAGATGAATTTTTCAAACATGATATCTTTATTTGTCCCGTTATTTGGTTAAACTGACATGGACTGTACAAACATCTGAAAGCTGTTGTCATCTTTTAACAACAGTCCTGTGTGTTGATTGTCATTACCACCAGATGTTTCTGATGCTTATTCTGACTTTTATTTGTTTATTGTTTAAAACGTAAATTTTCGTTGAAATGAAATGTGACATGTGAGGCCAAATAAATCGGAATGCGCAAAGTCTAATAACGGGCCACAGACAAAACAAGTGAGAATATTGAGGTTAAGCGAGAAATGAGTTACGAGAACGTTCCACAAACATTTCCTAAAACCATTTGACCACTTATAACATTACTTAAATACCTGCTACCAACATTAACAGTACTGTTAAATTAACGTATCCTACAACGTTTTTAACCACCAAAAACCATATCTATATCTATATTTTACCCACATTGAACATAGCTATATCTAGATTTTACACACATTAAACATAGCTATATCTAGATTTTACCCACATTAAACATACCTTTATCTAGATTTTACCCACATTGAACATAGCTATATCTAGATTTTACCCACATTAAATATAGCTATATTTAGATTTTACCCGCATTAAACATAGCTATATCTAGATTTTACCCACATTGAACATAGCTATATCTAGATTTTACCCACATTGAACATAGCTATATCTAGATTTTACCCACATTAAATATAGCTATATCTAGATTTTACCCACATTAAACATAGCTATAACTAGATTTTAACCACATTAAACATAGCTATATCTAGATTTTCCCGACATTAAACATAGCTATATCTAGATTTTACCCACATTAAATATAGCTATATCTAGATTTTACCCACATTAAACATAGCTATATCTAGATTTACCCAAATTAAACATAGCTATATCCCGATTTTTATATGTTTTACCCATATGGACCATAGCTACGCTTATATCTATGGAGCTGTTTTAGGGTTACGAAAATAAAATTAAAACTATGTGTCTGATTGCAAGCAGTGTATTTAATACTATTATTGATGGTATTGATGTATAAGGGTTGGTATATTTAATACTATTAGTTAATGATATATACGGTGGTGTAGACTATCTTTAAATTATCCACCGCTCATGCCTTATCTAGCCTATTATTGGTTCTGAACCAGTTGGTGATGTTGGTATCGGGGGAGCTGTAATTAGAGCCATCGTACAGTTTGCTTTTCTGGCACCACCAAACGAAGAATAGTCCATAGGAAGACACGAGCAGGGAATATCACCAATATTAATTGTACCATTATCAGGAATAATATGCGTAACTCCATTGAGGACAGCTTCACAGTTAGGACCTGTTACAAAGTCAAACATATTAACAGTAATTCGTTATCTAGACCCCATACCTACAAATCAACTGAAGAAATACATGGATCTATTTTATCAATTATATCTGAAATTATTAACCAATCTCTTTCATCTGGTCACTTTCCCCAAGAACTAGTAGAAAACATTGACAAAACATTGTTAAAGGAATCGAACTTGGATCTAGATATTCTGTCGAATAACCGTCCAGTTAGTAATCTGTCTTCCATTCCAAAACTAATGGCGAGGTTTGTTCTACATCAGTTAAATAATCATATTTATTCCAACAACCTCGACAATCTATTACAATCGGCCTAAAAACAATACCACAGCGCAGAATCTACTTTACAATCGGGCTAGTGATCAATAGAAGTGTGTTAAGTTGGTACTTTTAGATCTCTCAATCGCATTTGATACGCTCGATACCATACAGAGGGTCTACTCGACTCATTATGGTTTTAGTCATATCTAAGCAATCGTACCCAAGCTGTCAGGATTATAAATTCTCCATCTAAACATAATACAATGCTTTGCGGGGTACCGCAAGGTTCTGAACTCGGACCTGCACTTTTTATTATCTTAACGAAAGTTATTACTAAGATTGATGAATGCTATTGTCTAAATATTGAAATTGTATATTACATCTGTCGCAGCCTCTGATACAAAATTCTTGCTTGGGTGACATTTCTTAAATTTAAATCGAAGCAAATCCGAACTCTGTTAAATTGATACACAGTCGTTAAATCGTGAGCGTTTTATTTCAATAAATCACTTGTGCGTAGGTGTCTTTAGCAGTGGGAGGAAACCGGGGGATCCGGAAAACCCCACGAGGTTAGACATACAAGTGGGGAATCGAAACAACGTCACGTGGCTCAATAACAGACCTTCTGATCGACAGTTACGATCCCAAAAATTTTGCAACTCGATTGTGTCTCGCTGTCCACCAGACGTCAAGGAATAATAATCCACTGGGGCATAACTGATTAATATCATCACATGTATATCAAAATAATCGGAGATATATACGCGTTAAATTTAATACGTTACCATGGTAACTGGAAGGAATCATATGTTAGTCTAAAATTACCCTAGTGATAGACAAGACCATTGGGTACTTAAACCACCGGTCTGGTGACTGTGATGGTGGCCATTTGATATAAGACCATTGGGTACTTAAACCGACCTGGTGACTGTGCTGGTGACCTTTGACTCGGTAGTTATCTTGAACCTAGTTTATGAAAGCAAGGCTTAAACCCTCATTCCAGTTGACTATAAAGAGAGACGGGTATTGTGAAGGAGATAGTTCAAGGTTTCACTTTCCAGAATGGTTATTATGTTGACTATAATGAGTTACGGGTATTATGCTGGGGATAGTTCATGTGTTCACTTTCCAGAACCTCATTGGTCCCTTCTCATTTTCGGAGTTCACAAGGCCAAAACACTGTTGTAATTATGTTGTATTAAGAAACATATCTTACCATTAGGACAGGTTGGACAACAGTTGCCATCATGTGGTACATCTACAGAATCAACACATTCAAAGAAGAAACAATCACCAATAATGGTAGATACTCCATACCCTGCAACGCATTCACATATTTCACAATCTGTTACATAATGTGTCTCTCCTGGGGATATCTCCAGCCCGTCCCTACAGATACATATCTGTGCAGGCGGGGTTGGGTAAGGCGTGCATACTGCTTTAGGCACGTCGAAACCAGTATATAAATTATTACCGGAGTCTTCACAGCTGCAGACATAATTATCAAAGTAAAACGGCTCACCAGCAGTAATAATCTTCCTGTCTGAAGGATGTGGACCATATACAGCCTCACATAGAGGTGGTGGCATCGCCAACGACCATGTGGATGATAGCCAAATCAATACAATTTGTACAAACATGTTGGTAGCTAGTGAGATCGAGAGTAGAAATCAGAGATTTTATATTACTCAAGTAATTCATCAAGCCATATGTTACAAACAGATTGTCAAAAACTGTATTCAAACTTACCTGAATTTCTGTCAGTTTGATACAACAAGCTCTGACGACGTGGTTATTTCATTGGTTTAACTTGACAATCACCCACAAAACATCAATTCGACATTGATGTAATCCTTGCAGTTAAAGGTTCATCATGTAAGATCAGTTAAAGAGCTGACAGTTCTCAATATAATAATTAAACTATAGATAATGACAATAAATATGCTGAATATTTCAGAAAAATTGCTTCAATCTGAACCAACATGTTCGCGATTCAATTTTAGGCCTATAGCCTCGATCGTCATTACTACCGTTAGTACGATAATAAACAAATTCTCGATTATCCATGTTTACTAGAAAATATCCATCACAAAACGTATTCAAATCCCTTAAATATCGCAGGCTAACAATGGCAACGAGAGTTGATTAATGTCCAATTAGATAATGCTTAAGGCCTAAAAAAAAGCCCTGCATTAGGCAGATTTATCACTTGTATAATGTATGTTTAACTTACTACTGTTCATAATCCAGTAAATATCGCAGGCTAGCGATGACATCAAGAGTTGATTTTGGTCTGTTTTGTCAATTAATTTCTAATTAATAATTTAGATAACATTTAAGGCCTAAAGAAAGACCTTCAATAGACAGATTTAGCTTTTGTATAATGTATGTTTATAAAGTAATTGTAATGGTGAATCAGACAGTAGTTGGGCATGGTTAGTAAACATTGCTTGATGAAATATTTTATCCATGATCTCCAGATAGGTGTTAGGAATTTTGACATGAGCTATAAATCATCACACCTGTAGGTAAGAAATTATAAAGTCTGACATGGTTCTGGAGTATAAGGTCTGTAATTGAGTCAAGTGGCGAGGTTTCAATTCCACGCTTGTACATGACACGGATTATGGTTGCCTGTCCAGCCTCCTTGATTTCCAGACCCCCGGTTTACTTTCACTTTTAAAGAGCCTTTTGCGCATGTGAATTATTGAAATAAATTGAACCATGTTTATCCGGAATGGATCAACTTTGTGTCGAGTGTACGATAAACCCAATCTCTAGATTTGTGAGTACCTGTTAAAGACTCACAACTACAATAGGTAGACAGGTGCTTTTATTTTCAACATGCGAGTCAAAATATGTCGATAGATGATTGTTTTTTAATCTTGATATTAAAACCTGGTAGACAGGCGATTTTATTTTCAACATGAATATGTCAATAGATAAATTTTTTAAGCATGACTGTTTTATTTGTGCCATTTCGATGGAATGACAGGTGAAAGATGATATATGGTTAAATTGACATGAACTATACAAACACCTGAAAGCTGCTGTCATCTATTAACAACAGACCTGTATGTTGATTGTCATTACCACCAGATGTTTCTGATGCTTATTCTGCATTTTATTATTTATAGTTTAAAACGTAAATTCTTGACATCAACATAAAGCTAGCTCCATCATTTCTCTGTTCTAGAAATTCCTAGGGGTTGAGTAAAGATTTGTGTGTGTGAGTTAGTTGTATTTTACGTCCGCTTCCACCAAGGTGATATCGTAGACAAGCACAGATTAGTGGTGGTGATGTTTGTAAGGATCGGGGGTATTCTGTTTGGGCTACTGCATTGAATCAAAGTTGATTCAGGAATATTGTACAACTTGCTTGACACAGAAACATCTGCTTACTGACTTATACTTCGGATTATGGTAAGAATTGTGTTATGCTTTTCGTGGGAATACTAAACGGTCGTTCCATTAGGAACAAACTCTACATATCTTCCTTCTAACTAGTCAGTTAAGACGGTTGGTTAACTCTACATCAATTCTAAAATACAATGATACCAAACCGAGGTCCCGTGAATTCATTGGCGTAGGCCGTAGCGCCACTGTCCCGGCAAACTGTATGGCCTTGCCCGTCTTGAAGAACCAATGCTGTAACAAGAGTTTGTGCTCTCACGACCACGATATTTTACACCAAATCTGAACAAGATCCGTCAAAACCTATAATCTAAATTTTGTTCAAAAGGTTTACGACAAAAATGGAATTACTGTGAAAAGTAAAGTCACTGAATATCGATAGGACTCGCCCTCACAAGAACAAAATGCTTAAAGCGCATGGAAAACAGAAAATCGATAGGTTTCTTCCTCTTGTGACCCCAATGTTTTAAATCAAAATTTGAAAGTATTTCGTTAAAAAAGCTAATATCGCGTTCACAGGGTGTTTGCATAATGGATATTAACTCACCACGAAAGATTCTATAAAGTTGAAAACCAATGACCAGAATGACCGACGGACAGGGTGCGGACCTTGTGTCGGTGTATCAAAATTGTCTGTCATGAGATAAGAGAATACGAGCAAAATAGAAAATGTTTGTGCATTCCCTAGTTTTATCAATTCTCTATTTAGACATTTTATAATAATACGACTTTATCCATTGGATTTGCTGAATAAACTATAATTATCGCTTGGAATGTGAAAGTAGAGAAATAATAAAATCAAGGGAATGCTCGAACTATTTCTATTTTCTCACGTTTTTTTATCTTGTGACCGTCAATTATTTTATGAATAGGGAAGCTTCGGTGGTGTTGGCCGAGAAATTCCATCGGGATTTTCCGGCGTGGTGTAGGACGGACGGACAGACAGGGTCCCGTGTACACATTGACGTGCACTTAAAATATCCCTTGGTAGCTGGAATTCGATAGCCCGTAGTGTAGCTGTCCGGGCAAAATGTCCCTCACAGTACACTGTGTGGCGCATACCCGTCTTCATTTATGAATGTTTCGAACAGATGTTTGTCTTGGAAATAATTATCAGTGACCTGAATATCGACATATAGCGGTATGTCTCTCTACTTCAATAGTAAGGATAACTCATGTTTTCCTTTCTTTGCGTCACTTCCCGTTTCTTCAAATCTTCGTTACGCAACTATCGTAGCGAAGAATTCAAAGTATATTTGGGGTGTGCTTAACCAGCACTATCACATATTGGTGGACACCAACATTCTCCTTTAAGGGGGATAATCTGACACCTGCTAAAAACGTTATTGGCGACGTTTATTGAGGGGAATTTAACACATGCTCCTGGCGTTATCGGTAACGTTTATTTAGAAGAATGTAACACACACTATAAACGTTATCCGTATCCTGCCCGAAGTTCATAATGCGAACCGAAAAACGTTCTGGGGCATATTAAATCCGTGCCACAAATAAATTATTCACAGTTGTAGTGAAGCGAGCAATGTGTTACGAGAACGTTCCAGAAACATTTCCAAAACCATTTTGTCCACTTATAACAATACTTAAATACCTGCTACCAATTTTAACAGTACTTTTAAATTAACTTATCCTACAACGGTTGTAAATAACGTTGGCTAACCACCCAAAACATAACCATATCTTATGTTTACCCATAGTTAACATGGCTATATCTAGTGTTTGCCCATACACTATTATTATATAAAAATCTGTTATTATTATATTGAACATAGCTATATCTTGTGTTTACCCATATTGAACATAGCTATATCTTGTGTCTACCCATATTGAACATTATATCCAGTGTTTACCCATATTCAACATAACTGGTATATCTTGATACCTTTTGTTTACCCACATTGAACATAGTTATATCTTGATATTTTGTTTCTAATGGACAATATGTATAAGCTGGGTTAGGGATTAAACAAGAGAAGTACAATAAAACTAAGTGTCGGATTTCAAGCAGTTTATTTAATAGTATCAGTTGCTGGTATATCATGTAGAAGGTTTGGTGTAGAATATCCTTAAATTATCTACCACTCATGACTCATCTAGCCTGTTGGTTCTGGACCAGTTGATGATGTAGGTATCGGTGGAGCTGTACCTAGAGGCACAAAACAGTCAGCTTTTCTGGCACCATCAAACGAAGAATAATCCACAGGAAGACACGAGCAGGGAATATCACCAATATAAACTGTACCATTATCAGGAATAATATGTGTAACTCCATTTAGGGCAGCTTCACAGTTAGGACCTGTTACAAAGTCAAACATATTAATAGTAATTCGTTATTAGACCCCATACCTACAAATCTATCGATCTATTTTATCAATTACAGTATATCTAAAATTATATCAGGTCACTACAAAAAGTCATTGACAAACCACTGTTAAAGCAATCGTACCTGGATCTAGATATTCTGTCGAATAACCGACCAGTTAGTAAACTATATTATATGTTAAAACTACTAACAAAGTTCTACATTAGTTTTCTCCAATAACCTCGACAATCCATTACAATTGGCCTACAAACAATACCACAGTACAGAATCTGCTCTACAATCGGGCTATTGATCAACCGAAATGTGTTCTGTTGGTACTTTTAGATCTCTCAGTCGCATTTGATGCGCTCGGTAGCGAGCGCCTACTCGACGAAATTGTCTTGCGTCGTTCTGTTTTAACAGGTTTTAGTCATATCTAAGCAATCGTACCCAAGCTGTCGGGATTATAGATTCACCATCTGAACATAATACAATACTTTGCGGGATACCGCAAGGTTCTGAACTCGGGTCTGCACTTTTTATTATCTTAACGAAAGTTATTACTAAGATTAATGAATGCTATTGTCTAAATATTGAAATTGTATACTACATCTGTCGCAGCCCCTGATACGAAATTCTTGCTTGGGTGACATTTCTTAAATTTAAATCGAAGCAAATCCGAACTCTGTTAAATTGAAACACAGTCGTTAAATCGTGTGCGTTTTATTTCAATAAATCACTTGTGCGTAGGTGTCTTTAGCAGTGGGAGGAAACCAGGGGATCCGGAAAAACCCACGAGGTTGGACATACAAGTGGGGAATCGAAACCACGTCACGTGGCTCAATAACACATCTTCTGATCGACAGTTACGATCCCAAAAATTTTGCAACTCGATTGTGTCATGCTGTCCACCAGCCGTCAAAGAATGCTACTGATTAGTATCATAACATGTATATCAAAAAAATCGGAGATATATACGCGTTAAATTTAATGCGTTACCATGGTTACTGGAAGGAATCATATGTTAGTCTCAAATTACCCTAGTGATAGATAAGACCATTGGGAACTTAAACCAACGACCCGGTGACTGTGCTGGTGGCCATTTGATATAAGACCATTGGGAACTTAAACCACCCCCCTGGTGACTGTGCTGGTGGCCATTTGATATAAGACCATTGGGGGTCTTAAACCACCAGCCTGGTGACTGTGCTGGTGACCTTTGACTCGGTAGTTATCGTGTACCTAATTAAGGAAAGCAAGGCTTAAACCCTCATTCCAGTTGACTATAAAGAGAGACGGGTATTGTGAAAGAGATAGTTCATGGTTTCACTTTCCAGAATGGTTATTATGTTGACTATAATGAGTTACGGGTATTATGCAGGGGGTAGTTCATGTGTTCACTTTCCAGAACATCCTTGATCCCTTCTCATTTTCGGAGTTCACAAGGCTAAAACACTGTTGTAATTATGTTGTATTAAGAAACATATCTTACCATTAGGACAGGTTGGACAGCAGTTGCCATCATTTGGTACATCTACAGAATCAACACATTCAATGACGAAACAATCACCATAAATGGTAGAAACTCCATACTCATCGCATTCACATATTTCACAATCTGTTACATAATGTTTCTCGCCTTGGAATATCTCCACCCCGTCCCTACAGATACATGTCAGTACAGGCGGCGTTGGGTAAAGCGTCGTCGTTGGGTAAGGCGGTGGCATCGCCAACGACCATGCTGATAACATCAATATCAATACACTTTGGACAAACATTTTGATAGCTAGTGAGAACGAGAATAGAAATCATAGCTTTTATTTTACTCAAGTAAATCATCAAGCCATATGTTACAAACAGACTGTCAAAATATTTATTCAAACTTACCTGAATTTCTGTCAGTTTGATACAACAAGCTCTGACGACGTAGTCATTTCATTGGTTTAACTTGACAATCTCGCACAAAACATCAATACGACATTGATGTAATACTTGCAGTTAAAGGTGCATCATGTAAGATCAGTTAAAGAGCTGACAGTTCTCAATATACAGCAAGCTCTGACGACGTGCTTATTTCATTGGTTTCACCCACAAAACATCAATACGACATTACATTGATGTAATCCTTTCAGTTAAAGGTGCATCATTAGTTAAAGAGCTGGCAGTTCTCAATATAATAATTAAACTATAGATAATGATAACAAAATATGCTGAAAGTTTCGGAAAACTTACTTCACTCTAAACCAACACATTAGCGATTCAATTTTAAGCATAGTCTCGATCGTCATTACTACCGTTAGTACGATGATAAACAAATTCTCGATTATCCATGTGTACGATAAAATATCCATCACAAAACGTATTGAAATCCCTTAAATATCGTAGGCTAACAATGGCAACGAGAGTTGATTAATGTACAATTAACACTTGTGTCGAGTGTACGATAAACCGAATCTCTCTCTCTCTCTCTCTCTCTCTCTTATTATCAACATGCGTGTCAAAATAATGTCGATAGATGATTGTTTTTTAATCTCGATATTAAAACTTGGTAAACAGGTGATTCTATTTTCAACATGCGAGTCAATATGTCAATAGATGAATTTTCAAACATGATATCTTTATTTGTCCCGTTATTTGGTTAAACTGACATGGACTGTACAAACATCTGAAAGCTGTTGTCATCTTTTAACAACAGTCCTGTATGTTGATTGTCATTACCACCAGATGTTTCTGATGCTTATTCTGACTTGTATTTGTTTATTGTTTAAAACGTAAATTCTCGTTGAAATGAAATGTGACATGTGAGGCCAAATAAATCGGAATGCGCAAAGTCTAATAACGGGCCACAGACAAAACAAGTGAGAATATTGAGGTGAAGCGAGAAATGAGTTACGAGAACGTTCCACAAACATTTCCTAAAACCATTTGACCACTTATAACATTACTTAAATACCTGCTACCAACATTAACAGTACTGTTAAATTAACGTATCCTACAACGTTTGTAACCACCAAAAACCATATCTATATCTACATTTTACCCACATTGAACATAGCTATATCTAGATTTTACCCACATTAAACATAGCTATATCTAGATTTTACCCACATTGAACATAGCTATATCTAGATTTTACCCGCATTAAACATAGCTATATCTACATTTTACCCACATTGAACATAGCTATATCTAGATTTTACCCACATTAAACATAGCTATATCTAGATTTTACCCACATTAAACATACCTTTATCTAGATTTTACCCGCATTAAACATAGCTATATCTAGATTTTACCCACATTGAACATAGCTATATCTAGATTTTACCCACATTAAACATATCTATATCTATATTTTACCCACATTGAACATAGCTATATCTAGATTTTACCCACATTGAACATAGCTATATCTTGATTTTACCCACATTAAATATAGCTATATCTAGATTTTACCCACATTAAACATAGCTATATCTAGATTTTAACCACATTAAACATAGCTATATCTAGATTTTACCCACATTAAATATAGCTATATCTAGATTTTACCCACATTAAACATAGCTATATCCCGATTTTACCCACATTAAACATAGCTATATCCCGATTTTTATGTTTTACCCATATGGACCATAGCTACGCTTATATCTATGGAGCTGTTTTAGGGTTACGAAAATAAAATTAAAACTATGTGTCTGATTGCAAGCAGTGTATTTAATACTATTATTGATGGTATATACGTATATCATGTATAAGGGTTGGTATATTTAATACTATTAGTTGATGATATATACGGTGGTGTAGACTATCTTTAAATTATCCACCGCTCATGACTTATCTAGCCTATTATTGGTTCTTAACCAGTTGGTGATGTTGGTATCGGGGGAGCTGTAATTAGAGGCACCAAACAGTCAGCTTTTCTGGCACCACCAAACGAAGAATAGTCCATAGGAAGACACGAGCAGGGAATATCACCAATATTAATTGTACCATTATCAGGAATAATATGTGTAACTCCATTTAGGACAGCTTCACAGTTAGGACCTGTTACAAAGTCAAACATATTAATAGTAATTCGTGTAACACTACAGATAACAGATAATCAGCATATTAACAGTAATTCGTTATCTAGACCCCATACCTACAAATCAACTGAAGAAATACATGGATCTATTTTATCAATTATATCTGAAATTATCAACCAATCTCTTTCATCTGGTCACTTTCCCCAAGAACTAGTAGAAACCATTGACAAAACACTGTTAAAGGAATCGAACTTGGATCTAGATATTCTGTCGAATAACTGTCCAGTTAGTAATCTTACATTTTCAAAGTACTAGCGAAATGTGGTCTACATCAGTGAAATAATCAATTTTATTCCAACAACCTCGACAATCTATTACAATCGGCCTAAAAACAATACCACAGTACAGATCTACTTTACAATCGGGCTATTGATCAACAGAAATGTGTTATGTTGGTACTTTTTAGATCTCCCAATCGCATTTGATACGCTCGATACGAGGGTCTACTCGACTCATTATGGCGTGGCTGTTTTAACTGGTTTTAGTCATATCTAAGCAATCGCAACCAAGCTGTCAGGATTATAGATTCCCCATCTAAACATAATACAATACTTTGCGGGGTACCGCAAGGTTCTGAACTCGGGCCTGTACTTTTTATTATCTTAACGAAAGTTATTACTAAGGTTGATGAATGCTATTGTCTAAATATTGCAATTGTATACTACATCTGTCGCAGCCTCTGAACATTCCATGATACAAAAGTCTTGCTTAGATGACATTTCTTAAATTTAAATCGAAATAAAACCGAACTAGTAGTAATTGGAACTCCGCAACAACTCTATTATATTGATATACAGTGACTACAGTGTGCGCGTTTTATTTCAAAATTTTGCTTGTCCATAGGGTTCTTAAGCAGTATGAGGAAACCGGAGGATCTGGAGAACACCCATGAGGTTGGCAAAGTGATCGTACTCCTTGTCAAGTTCAAGAAGATAATCGAAACAGCGCCACGTGACTCAGTGACAGACCTTCTGATTCAAGAGAGATCCGCAAAGCACAACGATCCCAAAAAGTTTGAAACTCTATTGTGTCTCTCTGTCAACCCCATTGACCATTTTCACTAATAATTTTAAAAAGCTATTGAGATATTGAACGTAATGAGGATCACAAAATTCAAAACTCAAGATTATAGAAATTGAATTTCAAACAGGGGAATATTTCACAAGAATCATGGGATTGTTCTGAGCATATTTTCTAGGTTTATAAATCTATTTAATTCAAGGTAGTACTGGGATATCCTATATGGTTGCTAACTGCATCATCGCCCTCGGTGGAAGCAGATGTAGATACATAGCTACTAGTATCATCACAGGTATATCAAAGTAATCGTAGAAGTGTACGTAGTCAAATTAACCCACCCCGCATTGAATACGTTACCATAGTACCTGGAAGAATCATATTTTAGTCTCATCTTACTCTAGTTACAGATAAGACCATTGGGTACTTAAATCACCGGTCTGGTGACTGTGCTGGTGGCCAGTTGAGATAAGACCATTGGGTACTTAATCGACAGGCCCGGTGATTGTGCTGGTGGCCTTTGGCTCGGTAGTGATCTTCTACCCAATAGCCTTTGAAATATGAAGTCAAGGTCTAAGCCCTTATTCCAGTTGACCATAAAGAGTGGCGGGTATTATGAAGGGGATAGTTCATGTTTTCACTATCGAGAACGACCTTGGTCCCATCTCATTTTCGGAGTTCACAAGGCTAAAACACTGTTGTAATTATGTTGTATTAAGAAACATATCTTACCATTAGGACAGGTTGGGCAACAGTTGCCATCATTTGGTACGTCTACTGAATCAACACATTCAAAGAAGAAACAATCACCAATAATGGTGGATACTCCATACTGTGCATCGCATGCACATATTTCACAATCTGTTACATAATGCGTCTCTCCTGGGGATATTTCCACTCCGTCACTGCAAATACATATCGGTTTAGGCGTCGTTGGGTAAGGCGTCGTCGTTGGGTAAGGTGTCATCGACTCTTCAGTACAAACTGCTCTAGGAAATTCACCAGTATAGAAATTATTACCGGAATCTTCACAGCTGCAGACATAATTACCAAAGTAAAACAGCTCACCAGCAGGAATAATCTCCCTGTCTTCAGGATCTGGACCGTATACAGCCTCACAGTTTGGACCTGCAAATTAGAATGAAAGTTGTTCATACTCATACATGCCCTATAGTAACTCCAGTTGATCCCATGAATAATATTCCAAAGTAGGAAAATAAAAACTGCCAACTCAAATTGTCGAGCAACGTGGAATTTTTACCATGTAAGAGTTGCAAGAATCATCAATTGCAATTAAACGACGGCATCCTATGCATGAACCATGCCGCCGGCCGACGCCCACAAAAGCACCATATTGTCAAATTAGGTCCATGCATAAGCAACAGATTCGGTTTCACACCAAGCCATGTGTGTGGTGCGTCTACATCCCAGTTATGTTTTTCAATCAAAGTATACGATGACTAACAAGATCACTACCATTACTCAGTTGAGACTAACAAGATCACCATCATTACTCAGTTGGGACTAACAAGATCACCACCATTACTCAGTTGGGACTAACAAGATCACTATCATTACCCAGCTGAGACTAACAAGACAATCATCATCAAGATAACTGACAGAGTAGCTATTCCAGCGGTTGAAATATCGAAGTACAACAAAAATATGTTAGCTACATGTATTACTATTATTATACTCTTCAAAAAAAAGTAGGGGATATTCAGAGACAATACAAAACTGCGGAGGTTAGAGGTAACCAGTGATGTTAATAACAGGCCAATTGCCTACACATGAACATAAACAATTCATATGGGCGGCTTATCTGACGGCCCATTTCACTCGCAAAGAGATACAAGTGAAAATGGACGGTTTTGATTTTTGTCTTAATAATGAGTAATTACTCCACCAATCATCAGACATTCAGCAATTCGCTGTGGTATGCTCCTAATCAACCGTCCAATCACGATTTGGGGCAGTCTGACCCACTCCTCTTGTAGTGCCACGGTCAATTCTTGCAGTGTTGTCGGTTGACGTTGACGTCGACGAACACGTCTCCCGATCAAATTAAACGTAACACACTAAAGCAAAGATACGCTAAACAGTAAATCTTATGCAAGAACCGATAGGAAAGCAAACATGAATAGGATAAACCAGCAAGCGGCAGTTTTCATCAACCCTTCCTTGAAGTGTCAAATTTGACAATGAACCCCTCCCACGTGTATGGCGATATTGCGTGCCGCACATGCTGCTCAGTGGTTCTTCATTCAAGTGTCCATGACTATTTATCATATCACAACCTGCATAGTTATTTGCATTTCAATATCCCCTACTGTTTTTGAAGAGTATATTATTATACATCACTTATATAGCGCTATCCTTCACATACGTTTTCAGGCGCGCCTTGCAATAAATTTAAGAAATATAAATATCTATAAAATCAGTAAAAAAAAATAATAAATATCTATAGAAAGAGTAAAAAATAATTAATTTCTATAGAAACAGTAAAAAATAATAAACATCTATAGAAACAGTAAAAAATGATTAATATCTATAGAATCAGTAAAATAATAATAAACATCTATACAACAGTAAAAAATATATAATATCTATAGAAACTGTAAACCAATAATAAACATCTATAGAAACTGTAAACCAATAATAAACATCTATAGAAACTGTAAAAAATAATCAATACCTAATAACTTTAAAAAATAATCAATATCTAATAACTGTAAAAAAATAATAAACATCTATAGAAACTGTAAAAAATAAATAATATCTTTAGAAACTGTAAAAAATAATATACTTCTATAGAAACTGTAAAAAAAATAATATCTATAGAAACAGAAAAAAATAATTAATAATATCTATACAATAGTAAATAAATAATTAATATCTACAGAAACAGTAAAAAAAAATAATATCTATACAAACAGTAAAAAATAAATAATATCTATACAAACAGTAAAAAATAAATAATATCTACAGAAACAGTAAAAAAAAATAATATCTATACAAACAGTAAAAAATAAATAATATCTAATATCTATACAAACAGTAAAAAAATAAATAATATCTATACAAACAGTAAAAAATAATAATATCTAATATTAGTAAAAAATAAATAATATCTATACAAACATTAAAAAAATAAATAATACCTACAGAAACAGTAAAAAATATATATAATATCTATACAACAGTAAAAAAAAATAATTAATATCTACAGAAACAGTAAAAAATATAATTAATATCTACAGAAACAGTAAAAAAATAATTAATATCTACAGAAACAGTAAAAAATAATAAACATCTATAGAAACAGTAAATAATAAATAATATCTATACAAGCAGTAAAAAAAATTAATATCTATACAATCTATCAAAACAAAATCAAAAAAAAAACATCATCTTACCGTCAGGGCAGGATGGACAGCATTTCCCATCTCCCTCCACAGAATACGGTTGAACACAAGCGGGCATTGCACAGTCCATGTGATATGTTAACAGACCATCGTGTTCGTTACATTCACATATTTCACAATCGGTAGGATAATGTGTGTCTCCTATGGATATGTTCTTTCCGTCACTACAGATACACTCTGGTGGTGGTGTTGGTGTTGTTGGTAGGATGAATATACATGCAGCTGTCGGTTGACCATAGTTATAATTAGACGATCCGGGAGGCTCACACTCACATTGGTAATTACCAAAGTCAACTGTTTCTCCGGCAGGAATAATAGTCATATTCCCGTGTGGGTGGTTGACAAAACAGTTCGGACCTGTGAAATATTTAAAAAAAAACTTAACATGCGTGTAGGCCATAATAAGGTGCCTTAATAATGTATTAATTTCCAAATTTAATGTCCAAATCAGTGACAATTCTTTGTTTTATTCTGAATAAAAATTAACCTCCTTAGTGATTCATGGTAGACTAAAGGTATAATGGCGGCCTAACCTGGACAACGAGGTCATACCACTGCCAAAAACATCGCATCAGTTTGGTCAACATGGCTAAGTGAAAAATTTCAAAGAAATAAAATGAAATGAAAAGGCGTTTAACGTCCTGTTCTGACCCCACTGTGCCCTGCAGTGTGCTATGAAGGACATTTTGCCCGGACAGTGGCGGTGCGACCTATCCAATTCAACTGCCAATAGATCCTTTACGTGCATATCCCAATGTGTACACGGGACAGAACTACTTTCTCGGCAAATTTAACAAAAACTCAATTGAAAGTAAATAATAAAGTTCGACAGATAGGACAACAGATATCATCAATTGTATATGTATAAAAATATCTCACCATTAGGACAGGTTGGGCAACATATTTGATCATTAGGTGTACTAACTGAATCAACACATTCAAAGAAGAAACAATCTATAATGAGTGTAGACGGTCCATACTCTTCATGACATTCACATATTTCACAATCTGTTACGTAATGTTTCTGTCCTGGAAACAACTGTGTTCCATCGCCACATATACATGAAGCCGTCGTGGTACTTTCATATGGTGTTGTGGTTGGTAACGGTGTCGTAGATAGCGGTGGTGGCATCGCCAACGACGATGCGAATAACATCCATGTAGCCAAAATTTGGACAAACATCTTGGTAGATAGTGAGATCTAGAGAAAAAAATCACAACCTTTATAGTACTCAAGTAATTCATCAAGCCATATGTTACAAACAGAGTGTCAAAATCTTTATTCAAACTTACCTGAATTTCTGTCAATCTGATACAACAAGCTCAACAATTGCGATAGGTACACAGGCGATTTTATTTTCGACATGCGAGTCAATATGTCAATAGATGAATTTTTTAAACATGATATTTTTATTTATACCGTTTCGATGGAATGACAGATGAAAGATGAAACATGGTTAAATTGACATGGACTATACAGTCTTGAATGTTGACTGTCATTGTGGCCATATGTTTCTGATACTTATACTGACTGTTATTTGTCTATTGTTTAAAACGTAAATTCTCGTTTAAACGAAATGTGACATGTGAGGAAAAATGAATCGGAATGCGCAAAGTCTAATAACGGGCCACAGACAAAACAAAATGAATCGGAATAATGAGCCACAGACTAAACAAGTAAGAATATTAATTTTAATCGAAATTGAGATTTTCAGAGTCAATATCTGTCGACTCAAAAGATCAAAATAGCAATAAAACATTTTAAAAAAAACTTTATTTGGACGTTTTTTAAGAGTATCGTATTCGTAAATCTTTCTTTTTTCTTAAAATTCTCAGCGAAATTAGTTATTTTTCACGACCGGTCAATCCTTGAAAATAATTTACAATAGGCACAATGTATACGCCAGACATTACTAGACAATACTTGCCAGCTAGACCTTACTCTCCAATACTTGCCAACTAGACATTACTTTATAACTAGACCTAACTAGACATCACTTACCAACTAGACCTTACTAGACATCATTTGCCAACTAGACATTACTAGACAATACTTGCCAACTAGACGACACTTGCCAACTAGACGTTACAATACATTACTTTTCAATTATGGAATTACTAAACATCACTAGTAATTTGGGTTGTTATTCTCTTGAACAATGAGGTTTAACGTCCATTTCACACACGCTAGGTCATTTCGAGAAAAACATATGGTTCAATTTTATTTCAATAGTTCGCTTGCGCGTAGGCGTCTCTAGCATTGGGATGAAACCGGAGAACCCGAAGAAAGCCTACGAGACTGAACAAGCGACCCTACTCCTTGCCACATACAAGAAGGAAAAAGTTAACAATTCAGGCATTCACGCCCCCCCCCCCCCCCCGCTAAAATCGATTGAATGATATACCAAGCCTTAACTCTGTTTGGCACATTTATAGTCACTAAATAAACGGCCATGTTGTACTTAATAAGCTATGACCATTTAACCATCGATAAATAATATACTGAAAAACGGTTCCGAGTGTCCTCCATAACCTACAGACACTTTTGAGCAAAAAATAGGCTACGTGCCCTTGTTTTGAAATTAGCCTTGCTTAACCAGTCTAGCGACCATTTTCCGTCTGATTGACAGGCTGGGATAATCAAGACCACCTTTTTTACGAAGAAATTGAATTTAGAAACACGCACGTTAGGCAAGTCAACAATTATTTTAAGAACCTTGTAAAAGTAAAATGAAACTACTGCTAGTATCATGTTCTTTCCTAACGCAAGTATTTCAGAGATATTATTTGTACTAAACCAAAAGATGCCGCTCCTAACGGTAAAGTTAATTATAAAGCAATTTTAAAAGATAGAACGAACGTAATTTCTAAAGCAGCTGTAATAACCAAAATGCTAAATATTACTGCTATTCAGAATCGTCAACAAGAGATTTTTTTACGGCTGCGTTACTAGCCAGAAATCACATCGAGACTTTCCACTGAAGCATGCACATTTACTGTGTCGAGTACCACTTTTAGTAAGGAAATTTTCGACACATGGTGCACCCTAGTAATGCTAGGTTCCCATGATCAGGATTGAACTCGTTGTTTTAGTCGTGGGGTAATTGTGGTCTTATCATATATTGAGGCCAGTCGTAGCAATCACGTTGATCGTAGAGAGAGAGAGAGAGAGAGAGAGAGAGAGAGAGAGAGATGGGCTTTAACGTCCACTCGACACAAACTAGGTCATTTCGGGACTAACATGGTTCAATTTTATTTGCATGATTCGCTTGCGCGTAGGGGTCTTTAGCAGTGGGAGGAAATCGGAGGACCCGGAGAAAATCCACGAAGCTGGACAGGCAACCCTATTTCTTGTCACGTACAACCGGGGAATCGAAACCACGCCAGTTGACTCAATGACAGACTTTATGATACAGCGCGTACGTACTAACCATTCAGCCATCCAACCCCCCATGTCCGAAAGTATCTGCACGTACCAGATCGTGGACTCAACAGAGACAACCCTATCGTAACGCATCGCACGGCAATAAGAAACTGGCATAATGGGGTTTAACGTCCCTTCCACCCTTTTCTTGAATAGTTCTAGGACTAACAGGTGGTAATTTATAATGTCACGCGTGTATTGCGAAATGGGCAGAGGGTGCAAATACAGCAGCGCCTCCCTCCTCGTATTCTCAGAATTCCAACTGCCAATTGATGGTTTACGTGAACGTCAACGTGTAAGACCACGAAGTATGATGAAATTGGTACCGCGAAGTACGATAAAGATATTAAAACTATGTTTTATACTGTACATGTAAAATATATATTTTAATTATATAGATGAGCACATTGAATTTAATTTAAGTACAATATATAAAGTTGTTTGTATTAATGAAATAATACACTTATAGTATAGTAACAACAATGTCACAGATTAAATTTAAGTTCAATAAATAATATTTATGTCACAGATTTAATTCAAGTACAATAAAAAAAAGTTTATGTCACAGATTTAATTCAAGTACAATAAAAAAAAATTTATGTCACAAATTTGATTTAAGTACAATAAAAAAGGTTTTTATGTCACAAATTTGATTTGAGTACAATTTGTAAAATTGTTTGTATCAATGAATAATTACACCTATATAATAGTATACTGAAAACAATGTCACGTATTTAAGTAGAAAAGCGTAATACAGTATTTAGATGTAAACTTCACCAATTTATGTTTAAGTAGGCTAAAAGAAAAAAAAATCTTTGTAACAACGAAATTTAAATCTAAATGAAGATAGGTATCTGTAGTGTAAGCAACGAAATTATTCTAATATGATATTATGCACAGTGTTACATAAACCAGAACATATTAATAAGTTTATAATATTAGTATTGTTCAGAAGTGTTTATCGTTTTCTCCCGTACCAGTAAGCAAAGGCGTTGTCGAAATAACCGCCATAGGGACCAGCAGCTCCAGCAGCACTCAGCGGTCTATAATAGTGCTCCCTAGAATCCATCTGTTTGGCTAAAAATGAGAAGAGTTTAACGTGTATAAAATTACAATATAGATGGCTGGAAGTGTTATCAGGTGTTTAGAAAGGTATGACTACTTATGAGAGAGAGGGGGGGGGGGGGTAACGTCCACTCGACACAACATTACAATATAGATGGCTAGAAGTGTTGTCGGGTGTCTATGGGATCCACGGTGGATCACTATGTAGAACCAGGTGGTCCGGTTCGATCCAGGGATTGGCCGACAGAGATTCCTCGTGATTTTTTCAGCGTCGTTTCCCCTTACCAGTGGCGCACAACGGGGCGTGGGGTGGGGCGGACATAGGACAACGTCTGGTCGTTGGGATAGAGAAAGGGAAACCTTCGACACCATCTCCTTCATCCATTCTTACCTGCAGTTATGAACTGAGAAGCCAGTGTTATTTATTGAGTTTGAAAAAAAAATAATCAACAGTCAATGCGATGCAGTTGTGTATTGAGTTAGAAACTAACTAGTCAACTAGGCGGTTTAAAGGAGCAAAATCGCTAATATTTGGGACACAAATCGGTCGCAACGCATATAATAATGTAATATGAGTGTATATAAACTGATTTACATGCAATCGTTTCTGTTTTTACTCTAATTTCAAATCAGTCATGTTTGACGAAATACGTGTTTTCAATGTCGAGAACTTTGGATGATATTGAGTTAGAGACTTAGCTACTTTAAAATATATATAAATTCTACTTACAGCTCCCGGAACTGGATACAGATTGAAACAGAACCAAACAAACAGAGAGTAGAACAATCAACATAAGTTTTACATCCATGATCAGAGATTTTATAAATACGTCCAGTACACTCTCAAAGTTGCTGTAAAAAAACAGTTTTGTTTTACCTATAGAACATATTTTAAATTTAAAACATTAGAGAGAGATAGAGAGAGAGGGGGGGGGAGAGAGGGGGGAGAGAGAGGGGATACGTCCACTCGACACAAACTATGTCATTTCGGGACTAACATATACTTCTATTTCTCTTTCAACAATTCGCTTGTGTGTAGGGGTCTTTAGCAGTGGGACGAAACCGGGGGACCCAGAGAAAACCCACAAAGCTGGACTAGCAACCCTACTCCTTGTCACGGACAACCTTGGAAATATAATAGAAATTGCAAGATCAAAGACCCAATTTATGCGGAACAAATAAAACAAAACTAGAATACAGACAGCAAGATACTAACAATTTTAGAATTTTTAATCTAATTTGTCGCCATAAATTTGCCTACCGTCGATTGCATGGCAATTTCATTTTTCTTTAAATAATATTTTAATTCCGAATGATATCTGAATGGGATTGGGGAACATGCTATGCCTATGTTAAACCCCTCTCCCGCATCCGTCAAAATTGTCTATGCTAACCTCGATAAGGGAGATTTTGCCCTTGCAGCAGCCTTTTGTAAAATCCGATTTAATCCAAACTAAGAAATAATCTAGCTTTAATTAAATGTTAAATAATCAATTTGAGAGCATTGCAGCGTGTATGATATGAAAATTGTAGATGGCTATCATCGGCTTTAAGTGCGTGTTTAATAATGTTTATGAAATAAATTTGACTTACCTTATCTAGTGATATAGATTGTATTGTATCAATGATCATATATTACCTGAATATATACCCTCGGTGAATATTCATAAAATAAATTAATGATATTTAATTTCCCGTTTCTTTTTATAAATGAATATGTTTTCTTTTTTGATCAGAGATATTATTATTTATTTTTTCCATATATTTTTAGAATTGAATATTGATTTATGGTCCTCTAATTGACAACTTAAAGTTAAATTACATGATGGTTGACTTGTATTTAGAGAGGGGGAGTTGGATGGCCGAATGGTTAGCACGCGCGCGCTGTATCATACGGTCTGTCATTGACAGATTCCCGGTTGTACGTGACAAGGAGTAGGGTCGCCTGTCCAGCCTCGTGGATTTTCTCCGGGTCCTCCGGTTTCCCCCCACTGCTAAAGACCCCTACGCGCAAGCGAATTATTGAAATAAAAATTAAACCATGTGTTAGTCCCGGAATGACATAGTTTGTGTCGAGTGGACGTTAAACCCCATTTATCTCTCTCTCTTTCTCTGTATTTAGAGTGCTGGACCCGAGTTCACAAAACATTCTCAGACTTAACAATTTACTCAACAGACTTAAGAATTTACTCAAAATTGTTTGCCTTATTTCAACTAAAATATAGCCCTTTATAAAACTTTTACTGTTTTAATGTATCAAATACATCAGTAAAAAAACTATGTGTAAAGTTCTGTGTTTCTGGATCAAAGATATTTTTTTCATAAACAGTGATTGAAAGTTGAATAAATTCTTAAGTCTGAGAATGCTTTGTGAATTCATGGTCTGAGTTGAGGGAAATTAAATAAAATGGGGTTTTCGGTACCAACCGGTCCAATGTAAACGGGCAAACGCCGTGTCATGTGCTGTGAGAGTTATGTGGCCCGGACATTTTTGTTTTCTTTTCGTCGCACCTGACCGACTACTAGACGTTGTCCCTTGCGACTCCCTCCGTCTTGCGACACCGACAAGGTGGAAATTTGACTGTGTTTACATCGATAACCTGGTCACCATTCTACTAATCACGAGGGCATGAAATGAAATGGGGTTTAACGTCCTGCTGTTCTGCTCCGACTGGGGCCATACGCCATACAGTGTGCTATGAGGGAAACTGTGCCCGGACAGTGGCACTATGGCCTACTCTTATATTGCATTACAACTGCCAAGGGATATGTCACGTGCACACCAATGTGTACATGGGACCTCGGTTTTTCGCCCCATCCGAACGACTAGACAACTGGTCTCCCCTATTCAAGAAGAAGACCCTATACGTGACCCAGTTAACTCTGAATCAATATATTATTAATTAAATGATTTTAAGAACAGCTGACAGTTTGTTTCATTGACTAGAAACGGGTCAACGTTTAATACAATTAGCGTATATTTTCCTCTTCAGTCACACCTACGTCCTCGTGAACAATTAGTGCATTTTTCTCAATAAGAAATATCCTATTATATATTTTCACAATAAGAAATCTATTACTATATATTCTACTACGAAGATCATGAAATAGTAAAACTGTAATAATTGTTAACTTTTTATCTTAAAAAAACTAAGAGGTAATATAGTAATCTAACTAAATGTACCCTATCACATCTAGGCATGCGTGGAGTCAAGCTGAACATCGTTGAATTGACTCCTGTTGAATGAATGAAATTACGTCACGGGAAAGTCTAGTCGTTGTTTACTAGGTGCGTTTAAACACAGAACCCGTGTTAGCACCGAGGAGTCAATACGCCTCGGTGAATATAGCGATGGCTCGGATTTCCCCCTCTTCAGTGGTGCCGGACGGATGGTCTAGCAAGTAAAGGCACCTACTAGTTCGGGTATGGGTCACAAAAATGAAATTATCATCCGGGTTAGTGCGGGGCAATAGAAAAATATATTTATCAAACGCACCTTTCATAACACTTTATAGGGGTTGGGGGGGGGGGGGCAAATATATTCTTTTAAGTGTATTGTGTTTGCGTCCAACACTCGTTTGTTGTTAGTTAACAGTCAATGGGAGTGTTATTTATATTGAACTAAACAGTAAGATACAGGAAACTTGACAAATAATATAAGATAAAACATTATTCAATTAGTCTATAACTGTTATAGGTTACGCCTTTAGATGAGTGTGCATTATTATCAATATATCATGGTTTAGTACAGGTGATTTAGTACGGATTTGATTTATTGATGTAATTTATAAATTTAAGTTTGAATAAATCATTCATTGATGTAATTCTTCAATTCAAAGGGGGGTTGGATGGCTGAATGGTTAGCGTGAGCGCGCTGTATCATAAAGTCTGTCATTGAGTCGACTGGCGTGGTTTCGAATCCCCGGTTGTACGTGGCAAGGAGTAGGGTCGCCTGTCCAACCTCGTGGGTTTTCTCCGGGGCCTCCGGTTTCCTCCCACTGCTAAAGACCCCTACGCGCAAGCGAATTATTAAAATAAAATTTGAACCATGTGTTAGTCCCGAAATGACCTAGTGGACGTTAAACCCCATTTCTCTCTCGCTCTCTCTTAAATTCAAGTTCATTGATGTAATTTATAAATTCAAGTTTAAATAATTGCTTCATTGATGTAATATTGATGTAATTCATTCATTGATGTAATTGCTTCATTGGTGTAATTCAATTATAGATGTAATTCATTCATTGATGTAATTTATAAATTCAAGTTTAAATAATTCATTCATTGGTGTAATTTATAAATTCAAGTTTAAATAACTGATGGATATATAAAAATAATTACATGAATAAATAAAATTAAATGGTGTTTACGTCCATATTTTCTGCTCCGTCAAGGCGAATGTTGTTTGGCATACGCCATGCATTGTGGAATGGGAGACATTTTGCCCAGACAGCGGTACTACGACCAACTCTTATATTGAATTCTGGCTCCCGAGGGTTCTTTTACGTCCGAGAACTGGATTTTTCGTCCGATTATATCGCCCTTGCCAGTCCCCACCACCTCGGTCTGCTTCAGTGACAGAGGGAACCACGACGGAAAATCCGGGATCGAGGAGACAGAATAAACATAGAATTCCATCTCTTGAGGGTTATGCACGCCAACGTTTTGCACCAGACCTCGGGGTTTGGCCCTATCCTATCAACCTTGCCAGGACAAGTGGGGTAATTACGACGACAAATCACCAGGAGCACCGGGATCGAAGCCGGGACTTCTATATTAGCGAATCAGGGGACACTAAAAACACAAGAACACATAGTTTAACATCAACTAGGTCATTTCGGGACTAACATATGGTTCAGTTTCATTTCAATAATTCGCCTGGCCTTAGGGGTCTTTAGCAGTCGGGGAAAACTAGAGGACCCGGAGGATTGGACAGGCGACCCTAAACCTTGTCACGTACATGCGGGGAATCGTTCTCTCTTTCTCTCCCATGTAGCACCTTATGTAATTTATATTTAATTTTTGTGTTCACAACTGAACGGCCAACATTTTAAATACATCAAGTAGCAATAAAAAATATCCCGTCTGATGAATGTAATTGTTGGGTTTTTTTTATGATTGTTTTTAAGAGAGTCAATTCGGTGTATAGACCCGTTGATAGGCGTAAATGATCGTGTCACGTGAGGTCAAGATGTCCGGTAAGTCATCAGTTGTCATGTGTAATACCCTTATTGATCATCTATTAAAATTGTTGTTTTTGATCGACAGAAAATACAAAGTTAATTCTAGGCTTAATTACTTAAAACTAGGCTTATGTATTTACCAATGGATACACATATATATTAGATGGCGCAATAATACCATGCGTTACCAAGGAAACATGCTGTGACTCTATAACTTATATTACTGTCCGTGTCGTAGCGTCACTGTCCGTGTCAACATTTCCCTCAAAGCACACCCGTTAGCCCAGTCGGAGCAGAACAGTAGGACGTTAAACCCGATTTCATTTCATTTTATTTCTCATAGCACACTGTATTGTGTATACCTGTCTTCATCCGCCTGGTTGGGACAGAACCGTAGCACGCTCAAACCTATTACTTCATTCCGCCGCTATTAAAATAGGTCTATATATAAAACATTTATATAATAAAGTTAGGGAAAATAATACTTCATTCCGTTATTTTTAAAATATATGTAAAACATTTAGTGATATATATTTTGTATTAACGTCTAGTTAGGGAAAACATATGGGATTATATGACATGGGTGTTGTCAGTGGTGTCGTGTAAAGGTTGGAGGTTAGTAGGGGGTGTGGTCGTCGCTTTAAATCATAAGGTCTGTCAGTGAGTCCAGATTCGGGCATTCAACAAGGATCAGAATCTAACCTATTGCCCCACCTCCCCCCACACACAACTCGCCTGCAAACGATGATGTATTATTATTATTATTATTATTATACAACACTTATATAGCGCTATCTTCCACATACGTGTTCAGGTGCGCTTTACAATAAATACATGTATAGAAAATATAAAATCAGTAAAAAATAATAATTTTATAGAAACAGTAAGAAACTAAATATCTATAAAATCAGTACAAAAATAAATATATAAATATCTATAAAATACGTATGGTTAAGATTTAAGACTAATTCAACAAATAAAAGCCTCTTGGAATAAGAAAGTTTTAGGTTTAGATTTAAAAGTTGTTAAAGAGGTACAGCTGCGGATACTAAAAGGCAAGAGATTCCACTGCTTTGGTGCTTGAAACGAAAACGATCGCTATCCATAACTTAAAAGGTTGGCTCTTTTTTCCGTTAATAAAAAGTTGTCTCTGGATGACCGTAACGTTCGAGAAGGTTTATAAATATCCAAAAGACAGGACAAGTAACAGCGCGCCATACCATTAAAACATATAAAAGTCAATAAAAGTATTTTATATGTAGATATGTAGATAGTGTGTATTTTAGAAGGAATGAAATAGACAAGCGACATTCAATTTAATCACTATTATTCTTGTCTTATTCCTTTTCCCATTAAAATTTAATTATGAAAATTTGAAGTCTGGAATAAATTGAATCCAAGTCATGTGTGATGAATCCCCAATACCAAACTAACTTACATAAAGCTTGGAATTCCCATCCTGTATTCATAATAGGCAAATTGGTCTTTTTATTCAGAAACAAGTACATAAAACGAAAAGGAAAATAAACGTAAACGACCGTGAACATGGGACCGCGGGTTTGCTTCCCATCCGTAGGAATAGATACTATTCCGTGCCAGTCCCCCTATCTTGAACCACTGAAAGTTCCGAGATACTGTCTCGGCCAACAATGGTACCTGCGGTCGGACAAAACAATCTTTTTGGGAGATTATCAAATTTTTCGGGTACTGGCTAAATGATGAAAAAAAGAGTAAAATATGAGGGGATATAAAATTGTTACAATAAGTTCATCCCGCAAAATGAAGTGCTCGAAATCTAGGACTTTTATTGACCATAGGGTGGGGTGATTAAATTCCCAACCGGATTTCAGAGTTTCAGGGTGTCTAGTTCTCAAACTCACGTGTAGTTCCAGAAAATTAGCTACTTGCCGTTATTTTCCGAGATTTTACCTATATGGTTATTTTGTGATAAAGTTATGTACGCTCATTCTTCGGGCAAAAGTGATACAGCCCCACCCCCTCCCGTACGCCTATGAAAGTCCCCATGAAACGATTCGAATTTGCAAATTAACAAGTATGAGCCCCAGTAACCCACAATGACGTCATCACCTCCATAACGAAAATAATTTCCGCAAGTGTCCAAAAAACAAGATCCAATATTTGCCGAATTATCGGGTTTCTAGAATATGTGAATTAAATCAGAGTTTAAAGAGAATTAGTTTGAACGTGGTTTATTGGTAAAAGGGACATGGCGTCTTAACGCCAATTAATTCATTATTACTCGATAACGTGTAAAGAAAAGATAACTGATTGACCATAAACCTTTGTTACTCCTCCCAAAAAACCCTCTCTAGCTAACACATCATTTAGTAGGTACAAAATATGTCGATTATCTACTCAATTATTGACATAGACGTACATAGGTCATTGTGATTGTAGAACAGTAGGACGTTAAACCCCATTTCATTTCATTTGTCATTGTGATTGAAGGCTACCTGTAAACCATACTGATAAAGAAACAATCGAAATGTGTTTTTTCTTTACTCATTGTCATAATGAACTTATAGGTGTAAAATAGTTTTAAGAAAAAGCAGGTATTTTTCCGATCAATCAGACTCATTATAAAGTATAAAACCCGATACAGGTAGAGATGTTTTAGATTAGAGTTGGACTGTAGGATAACTAGCATCAGGTATTCAAGTTTGTTAAACTTCAGGTGAGAATAATAATAATATAGTTTGTTTACTACGGGAGCCACAGTGGCTAAGTGAGTAAGACGCTGACACGCTAGTCTGGTGGTCGCGGTTTCGATCCCGGTGTTCACCGAGAAAGTTCCTCGGGATTGTCTGACAAGGACAGCTGTCTAGTCTTTCGGATGGTCCTGGAAATCGTGGCGTGCACTCAAACGATAACCTGGTAGTTGGAAATCGATATAAGAGTAGGCCGTAGCGCCGCTATTCGGGCATAATTTACTTCATAACACACTGTATGGCGTATGCCCGTCTTCATTAGCCCAGTCGTAGCAGAACATATCATGTGGGGGTTGGATGCCGAATGGTTAGCGCGTGCGTGTTGTATCTTAAGGTCTGTCATTGAATCAATTAGCGTGGTTTCGATACCCCGGTTGTACGTGACAAGGAGTAGGGTCGCCTGTCAAACCTCGTGGGGTTTTCCTGGTCCTCTGGTTTCCTCTCACTGCTAAAAGACGCCTGCGCACAAGCGAATTATTGAAATAAAATTGAACCATGTGTTAGTCCCGAAATGACCAAGTTTGTGTCGAGTGGACGTTAAACCCCATTTCTCTCTTACTAAATGAAATGAAATGGGGTTTAACGTCCTACTTTTTTGCTCCGACTGGGCTAATGAAAACGGGCATACGCCATACAGTGTGCTATGAGGGAAATTTTGCCCGGACAGCGGTCTACTCTTATATCGAATTCCAACTGTCAAGGGATCTTTTACGTGCACGCCAATGTGTACACGATACCTCGGTGTTTCGTACCATCCGAACGACTAGACAGCTGTCCTTGTCAGGCCCTCCACCCTGCATCACTGACAAGGGGGAACGACGCCGGAAAATCTAGATGAATTTTCACGGCCAATGCAGGGGTCGAACACCCAACCTCCAGGATACCGAGCCAGCGCCTTACTCACTTAGACACCGTGATCCCCCTAGAGTTAGAGAGTACTACGATACATGTATGTGTCTTGAGTCTTTCTATAAGACACTGAATGGGTATCGGTTGAATGGTGTAAACTATTACACAAAAATATACTGTGCTCTTTGAGCAGCACAAGTTGGAGCAATTTCTATTTAAATAGGTAAAGGGAGGTAATTAAGCTTATCTGTATGGATGAAGACTACTAAATCTCTCTACACTGACTTGAGTGTTAATTCAATGACATTTCTGTGGTCACTAACATTTTTTAACATTCCGATGGTCTTAATCTGCATAACGAAATAAACCCCAACACTTTACAATCATCTGATAAGAAATATTGAAGGGGGGGGGGGGGGGCATTTGTACAAGACTAAGATTCTAACGAGTCTTATTCACAAAAATATAATATTATCTGAGAGATAGAGAGAGAGAGAGAGAGAGAGAGAGAGAGAGAGGGAGAGAGAGAGAGAGAGAGAGAAAGAGAGAGAGAGAGAGAGACAGACAGACAGACAGAGAGAAAGACAGAGAGAGAGAGTGTGAGAGAGAGAGAGAGAGAGAGAGAGAGAGAGAGAGAGAGAGATCAGAGTTTAACGTTCATTTGACTCGACACAGACTAGGTGATTTCGGGACTAATATATGGTTCATTTTTTTTTCAATAATTCGCTCGCTTGTAGGTCTTCAGCAGTGGGAGGAAACCGCAGGTCCCGAAGAAAACCCACGAGGTTGGACAGGTGACCCTACTTCTTGTAACGTAAAAGCGGGAAATCGAAAGCACGGAAATTGACTCAATGAAAGACCTTGTAATGCAACGCGCACGCAGCGTTACCCCCCCCCCCCCACCCAAACACCTCTTATTAGTTAGTATAATTAAAATTAAATTGCACGTAAACTAAAATAAACCATTTCTGATCTGTAACCAATCATGATACATATCTTAAAGATTCGGTTTTTTTTATTTTCAGTGAATTGAAGATGAGGCTCGCCACGCTCAATCTTGTGTTTCTAACCATTGTGATAACGCATGCGCATACCACATTCTTCCGAAGGCCGATGCTCCTATCCCCTTTCATAGCACGATTACAGCCACAGGTACGACCATCGGTACCAGTTGTCATGCCAGTAGCAAGAAAAGTATGTTCGGTTCAGAGAGTCCCTATCTTCATACCAGTTCCTTTTAATGTACCTTCCATGCCAATGCGAAGACCTTCAATGGCAATGAATAAATACATAGCGTCAATGCCGAAAGCGCGGCGGACTTCCATTCCACAAATTGTTACAACTAACAACGATGATGATGATGATGATGAATCTAATGTGAGGTTACCTGTCACAGTAAAGATAATGAAACCTAGCACGCCTTCCACGCCTACAATGGCTAGAATCCGTCAGATGGATGATGATAGCAACGAAGACGACGATGAAGATGACGACGACGACGATGCTGATGCTGATGCCGATGATGATACTGATGCTGCTGATGATGATGCTGCTGATGAAGATGATGATAATGATAATGATAACGATGACGGTGAACGTAGCGCAATTTCTAACACGAATCACGATGTTACAGACAACGAGGATGACAACGATGATGATATGGATGATGAAAACGGACAAATTTATATTTTTAAAACGCGTCCCAAAATACCATTACAAAACGTTGGTATACTCGCCAGCCCTAATATGCCTGGTGTTGTATTTGGAACTAGTGGACAGGGGGCAACAACTTCAGGTCACCAGGAAATCGACACAGACAGTGAATCTGTAATGAATTCGTTTCCCGACGATGATAATATGTTGATCAACGTCCTCAGGACGCCATTTTCATTACCAGTAAACAGTAATCCAACATTTGGACAAGTATATAATCCAGATCTTTACAATCCTAATTTACTAAATCGTGATAATGGAGATGGACGTGCTACAAATACCATTAATACTGTCGGAATTTCTCAACCTTTCCCATTTCATGGCAACAATCCAACACTCGGACAAGTATATAATCCAGATATTTACAACCCTAATTTATTAAATCGTGAGAATGGAGAACGTGCTACAAATAACATTAATACTATCGGAGCTTCTCAGCCTTTCCCATATCGTGGCAACAGCTTCAATGAATACGAACCACAAGGAGAATCTGTGTATGGACCCAATATTGGTGATATCGGTGGTGAATCCAATATTTTTAACTATGGAGGAATGGATTTTGAGTTTGGCCAGCGTAATCCAGACAGCGCCTCTATAAACCCTCAAACAGCTGTGTCGGGTAACGTCCCCGATAAGATAACTCCTCTGCGTCTTCCACCATGGAATCCTGCGATGGGTATGACAAACATACGACCTTCTGTCTTTTCGGGAATGAATGCGCCTGAAAGTAAAGGATTTGATACAGCTTCGTCGTTTAGAAACACGGTTGCAGCACCTGCGATGGGTGTGACAAACATACTACCTTCTGTCTTTTCGGGAATGAATGCGCCTGAAAGTAAAGGATTTGATACAGCTTCGTCGTTTAGAAACACGGTTGCAGCACCTGCGATGGGTGTGACAAACATACTACCTTCTGTCTTTTCGGGAATGAATGCGCCTGAAAGTAAAGGATTTGATACAGCTTCGTCGTTTAGAAACACAGTTGCAGCACCAGTGTCAAATGACAATGTTCCCATGATGAATATCCTACCATCGAGCTTACCAAAACACGTTGAACATGTTCCGGATTTTTCACCAGACGTATATAATAAAATTAATATACTCCCGACAAGTCCTAGAGATACATCAACTAGAAACGGTTCGTCAACTTTCCGTGGGACTAACGTGACGGCTCAAAGCAATACCTCAATTATTCAGTCTGGAACTTCCGTCGACCACCCACCCACTACGGTTGAACCAAACGTAGGAGAGACAAACGCCGTGCCATCCATTTCTCCAAACACGGATCCCAATAGCATAGCAACCTTCAACACGGAAATTGATAATTTGCTTGACAAACAAATGAGTTTATCAGATATTTTAATTGAAACCAATAAGGAAATGGTAGAAGGATTAACGGAATCAGGGGTTTAATTGGTACACTGAACTTACCAAAGACTATCACAGAATGGTCCAATCCTTCAATATTTTCGATGGGATGTGTTCTGCGAGATATTTTAAAGCATTTCGTTCATCTTTGTTTTATAAATATCCACGATTTAAAAACCTCCAACTTTGGGACACGTTCAGGTCCTAAGGTTAACCCTAACCCAGCCCTGAGGTTAACCCTAAAGCAGCCCTAAGGTTAACACTAACCTTATCCCTTAGTATATTTATATAAATGTGTTATTAGTGTATTGTTATGGGACCTGATTCAGGCCAACTGTTAGAGTTTAGATATTACAAGATATTATAATATATAGTAAGTAGTTTACAGATGAATTAAAAAATTATATGTATTGTCTTCTTTGTTGAGTTCGTCCACAATTCGTGTTCAGGCAGGTTGGGATGTCACAGTGTCTCAGGCAGGTCGGGATGTCACAGTGTCTCGGGCAGGTCGGGATGTCACAGTGTCTCGGGCAGGTCGGGATGTTACAGTGTCTCGGGCAAGTCGGGATGCCACAGTAGCTCAGTGTGTCGCTGGCTTACTAATCGGAGGCGGGGGGATTGCTCCCATACTTTGGCCGCTGTTCCGGCAAAATGTCCCACATAAGCACACTGTATGACGTATGACCGTCTTCATTAGCCCAGTCCAAGGTGATCAGTTAGGCAAATCAAATTTAACAGCACACCACGTAATTCTCATAAGTTTTATGATATTGTTGGATTTACTTCGTCCTTTGTTGGATGCCCATCGTAACCATATTATCACGTTGAATAATATGCGGATATTGGTCCACATAATGTTCCCATTTGAAGGGGGATGGGGCGGGGGATGGGGGGTGACAAACCCATTCGATCCACTTCCCTGAGCCCCAGCTTTGTCCTGGTTCAGTGACCAATATGTAACAGCGCTACTCGTTATTTAATTTAAATACGTGACATCCAGGTGACAATATTCTCATACAAGCTAAAGGTTTTAAATACGTGACATCCAGGTGAAATTATTATCATACAAGTTAAAGGTTTTAAATACGTGACATCTAGGTGACAATATTATCATACAAAGTAAAGGTTTTAAATACGTGACATCTAGGTGACAATATTATCATACAAAGTAAAGGTTTTAAATACGTGACATCTAGGTGACAATATTATCATACAAGCTAAAGGTTTTAAATATGTGACATCCAGGTGAAATTATTCTCATACAAGCTAAAGGTTTTAAATACGTGACATCTAGGTGACAATATTATCATACTAGCTAAAGGTTTTAAATACGTGACATCCAGGTGAAATTATTCTCATACAAGCTAAATGTTTAAAATATGTGACAGCTAGGGGACAATATTATCATACAAGTTAAAGGTTTTAAATAGGTGACATCCAGGTGACAACTTTTTCTCATACAAGCTAAAGGTTTTAAATATGTGACATCTAGATGACAATATTATCATACTAGCTAAAGGTTTTAAATAGGTGACATCTAGGTGACAATATTATCATACTAGCTAAAGGTTTTAAATAGGTGACATCCAGGTGAAATTATTCTCATACAAGCTAAATGTTTAAAATATGTGACAGCTAGGGGACAATATTATCATACAAGTTAAAGGTTTTAAATAGGTGACATCCAGGTGACAACTTTTTCTCATACAAGCTAAAGGTTTTAAATATGTGACATCTAGATGACAATATTATCATACTAGCTAAAGGTTTTAAATACGTGACATCTAGGTGACAATATTATCATAAAAGCTAACAGTTTAAAAATGAATGTTAATGTTAACTATAAACATAGGTATTTTTGTGTTGGCCTTAGTAAAAAGAACGAAACGAAATAGAGTGGAATACATGTAACACAGTACAATACAACAATACTCTAAACTATGGAAGCCCAAACACCAGATATTTGTTGATGCGTATATTAAAAAATAATTTCTAATTTCAATTTTGTAAATAAATTGTGAATTTTGTAAATGAATTGTGAATTTTGTAAATGAATTGTGAATTTTGTAAATGAATTGTGAATTTTGTAAATGAATTGTACATTTTGTAATTGAATTGTAAATTTTGTAAAGGAATTGTGAATTTTGATAAGGAATTGTGAATTTTGTAAAGGAATTGTGGATTTTTTAAATATCGGTGTAGACTGGAATAACCTGACGCTATATACTGCCATTCAATTGGGACGCTTCGTGGATTTCGCCGAACATAACTGATTTGAAATTAGAGTAAAAACAGAAAAGACTGAATGTAGATCAGTTTATATGCAGTCATATTACATTATTGTTTGCGTTGCGACCCATTTGTGTCAATTTCTAGGTGACAAATATTAGCGATTTAGCTCCTTTAACATAATGGAGATAGGATTTTCACCTGTTTGTCATCACGTCATGCATACTAACAATTGATGGGTCGTGGTGGTTCAGTTGATAAGACGTTGGCTCGCTAGTCTGTAGGTCCCGCGTTCGCTACCGGCGTTGGACGAGATTCTGCATCGGGATGTTTGAGGAGGTGGTTTCCCCTAGTCAGTGTTGCAGGACGGAGAACAGCTGTCTAGTCCTTTGGATGGGACGAAAAAAATCGAGGTCCCGTATACACATTAGCGTGCACGTAAAAGATCCATTGGCAGCTGAAATTCGATATAAAAGTAGGTCGTGGCGACGCTGTCCGGAAAAACTTTCCCTCATAGTACACTGTATGCCCGTCTTCATTAATCCAGTCGGAGGAAAAACAGTACGATGTTAAACTCCATTTCATTTCATTTCAAATTTAAAACAAATTCCAAACTGAGCAAAAAAACAACAGCAGATAGGCACAAAATTGAATATAGTCGATAAACGGGTCAATAATTGGTAATAAAAACACATTAACGACATGACACATTTTATATTACATGTTTATACTGTCAATGGAAAACTGATTAATCCATACGCTGGAGTTGGACTTTCCCAGACAAATGACAGTTGGCATTTCCTTGGGGAAGTAACAATCAGCTTCAAATAGTTCTAGAAAGGGATGTAAAAGACCTTCCACTAAAATTTGATAGATTTATTCACTATAATATAGGGGTTCCGGATTGCAACATATATAGTCAGCCGCCCCCTTAATCTGGTACCGAGTTTATCTCTTTGCAGGCCCGTAACTAGAGGGGGGGAGGGGCACAGGGGGGTGGGTGCAATGCCTCCACACCCTGCAAAAAGTTTCGCCCCCCCCCCCCCCCCGTGAAAAGATTTTCGACCATAAAAAAATAGATATACATTTTCCGTCAATATTACAGCACCCCCGAGAACACTTCCCGCCCCATCTCGTTGCTCTGAACTAGTTACGACCCTGTCTCTTTGTGACGAAGTAATTAAGAAATGCCGGTAACATGGTGCTATTAGGTTTCCAGAATTTAGAATCCACGGGTGGCAATTCATTTGCCCCGGGGGTAAAATCAAAGCTCTGTAATAATGATGTCACATACATGAACATACGAGACTTGGCGAATGATTCTCCGACACAATTTCTTTTTCCAACTCCAAATGGTATCAATCTGAAAACAAAAACATAAAACAATTATTCGACAGACAGTTGTTAACGTCTACTCAACATAACCTAGGTTATTTCGAGACTAACATGGTTTATTTTATTTAAAGCGAGGATTTCAAAACATAATTTTTTCTATGTCTTTTGCTCAATAGGTTATCAACTCACTATTATACGACCATGGGCATTATTTCCCACCCTCAAAAATCATTGACACAGGAAATAATAACACAATTACCTCCCTTGTTTTCCTCATGCCTCCACGCATTAGCTACCTTCAAACGTTGGAATTTGAATTTGCAAATGGATATTTTTGCCACTTTCTCAGCTGGCAATAGTGAATTATAGGATTAATAGGATTATTCTTTAACAAAGTAGGGCGGTTTATGGATACCATCTATTTTAAGGCTTTATTTTAATAAATTTTAAAAATATAACTTAAAAATATGAAATTGTAGCTTTAAACAATTCGCATTGGATGGAAGCGGTAGATGAAATTATTCCTTGTCACCCACACGTCGGGGTATAGGCAATCTGATTAAAACAACGATGAACTTACTGTGATCGTAAAATATGTTCACTTGGAAGAAGTTTCCCATCATCATCTAAAGATCGTTCTGGTGAGAAAACGTCAGGTTTATGCCAATATTTATCTGAGCGATTCGTTGTCCAATAATTTGTAACCATCTGGAATTTACAATAACAATAATATATTAAGAGTCAAAATGGGAGAGATTTTATTTCAATTATTCGCTTGATAGGGAGTTTAACGTCCACTCGAACCAATTTAGGTCATTTAGGGACTAACAAATGGTTCATAATTAATTCAATATATCGCTCGCACGTAGTGGTATTTAGCAGTGTCAGGAAACCCCACGTCTCTACTCGTTGTCACGTTTAAGCGAGGAACCGAAATCCACTGAATAACAGAGTTCCTTATGATCTTAAGTGTGGGCGTTAAACCTTGAGTATTGGGCAAACTGTCCCTCGTAATGACTAGGTCTGTGTATGACTTACTGTAGTCTTGGCTGGAATCCTCTAGTCTATCTCTTCTCTAGTCACGTGGGAAATTCCAATAGGAAGGTGACTAATGAATCGCAAACATTCTAAAATGGCGGCGTTTGTATAGTGCATTACTCCTCGATCGTCCAGACTTGGTTCTCTGTCCATGCCAATATTTTCGTCTATTTCTTCTTGAATACGGCGTTGAATCTCTGGATAGTAGAGCATCAACAGAAAAAATCCACTTAAAGCCCCCTTCGTTGTTAAATACCCAGCCGCTACCATTTCACCAACGATTCCTTTAATATCCTCGTCTTCAATCTCTTTATCGTTTTCTGCTTCGATTAAGATTTTGCCAATAAAACCTTTACCGTGTGATTTCATCCTCTGAAGCAAGAAGTTTTAAAACTAGAAGTAATTAACGGAAATTAATACAGATCGTTAGAGCGTTCACAAAGTTCCACAAGGTGAAACAAGGGCAATAATTCTAGAAATAATTAACTAATGTGGACAACAAAGATTTGATGATAGATGTATTTTATAGATTGTGCGGACGGACGGACGGGGCGACGACAATATACAAACACATTTAACATTAATTAAACAACTACAATATCAACATGGTAACGTTAATTGAAAGAAGCGTTACTAGGCAACGAAACACATGTCCACGTAGCCATACCTATTATTTTTTAGGTAATGAGAATATTTATAAGACAATGATATCTAATTAATACAGATCTTATGATAATTTAAATACTGCATTCAAATTTCATACAGATCAGATGGCAACTTTTATCGATAGAGCGTGCACAACGTACAACAAAGTGAAGGGCCATAACTCTATAAGTAATTTACAGCGGAAATTCCTCTTACTAATTTATAACAACATATATAAATTTCAAAAATATCGGAGGATAATTACAGTCTGTAGAATGTTCACAAAGTCAAATAAATCTAAATTTAAATTCTAGAATATCGATTCTTACTTTTGTAATACAGGGATTTATGTATAAGTTTTTTAATCTCTCTCTGGCTTCTAGCGCAGCTTTATAAAGTCGACGCCCTCGTCTTGGTAAAAAACGAACCCATGGACAGGTATTAAGGAGGAAACTGTTGAACATTTCATTGTCGATATGAGCAAATTCTTCAACGGTATCACAAATATATTTACATTCTTTGAAATCTGCAGGTCTTTCGTTGGTTAACTTAAAAAAAAAGATTAAAAACAACGTAACAGAAATAACGGCATCGGTTAACGTTGTGTGACAACCGGGATCAAAGTCAGATCTACTCACCCTAATTACCAAAACAGTGGGACATATTACACTTATGATAAATATAACCACGTGATCTTTGCGACAATTATAATCGATGTTCTGCATTGAGATTTCTGGGCGAGATAACTCGATGATTTACAATAGGAATCAGACCACCAAATATTCACCCATTAACTTTAATGGTAATTCTTTCTGCAAATTTTTGGTTGGGCTGAGCGCTCTCCGCAACAGACAGAGCAAGACTATCTGTAAATACGACAGAAGCATGCAGACATATTATAATTCTGGAGATATTTGTTAAACACCAATGTTCCAGCAAGTGTCAGGAGCCACAATGGCTCGGTGACTAGGGAGCTGATCCGTCTTTCGATCCAGGGGTTCGTCCAGTAAGTTGAGTGAGATTTTCCGGCGTGGTTTCCTCTTGTTAATAGTGCAAGACGAAGGGAAAGCCAATGAGCAACACCTTGTCGATCGGATTGTACGAAAAACCCAGGTTTCGCGTAAATGGCGCTGTCCAGGCTATAATGTCCCTCCCTCAAAGTAGGCCTAGGCTAGGCCTACAGCACATGTTTGTGCAGAAAAGTAGGACTTTAAGCTCTATTTCATTTTATATCATTTCAAAAGGAAATAAAAGATGATAATATTCAGAATCTTCTAGTTCTTCGAACATTACTGAAAATAATTCTAAATAAAAGGGTGTATTTCAAAAAGTGCAGAAAGTGGGACGTTAAACCTATTTCATTTCAAAAGGAAAAAAAAGCAAATCATAATGACGTCATCTTCGTTGCTAAGGGGACCTACGACGTCATTGTTGCCATGGCGATGACCTGTGCATGCTACCACTACTGTGCAGAACGTGGGATGTTAAACCCCATCTTAACTGAACGCGCCTTGGAGATAAACTTTTACTCACAAATATATGGAGCACTCTGATAATTGAGACTTTTAAAGCCTTATCCAGGTCGAATAAGGCCTTCAGTGTGGAATTTTCAAGCTCCTTTTGCAGAATCTTTATTTCTCCATTCACCATATCCTCGAATACCTTAATACCGCCTCCATACAATTTGATAGTTCCATGGACCATTTTGCGAACCTTCATGAGCATTTCATTGTAATGGCGCAAGGAAACATTTCGACAACCGTAGCCGATAAAATGGCCGTAAAATGTCCATGGCCGGTCGTTTGTGACGTCACGATATTGACCCGATGCGAACAGTTTACGCATTAATCGACTACTGTTTAGGAAAACAAGGTTACTTGTAAACAACCGGATGTTGAATATCTCCCCGTATCGCTTGCTAAGATCCTCGGCGATCAGATGAGTATCATTTTTTCGTAACATTTTCCATGTTATCTGTAAACATTCTAAAAATGGTGGACTGGGGGGGGGGGGTAGAGGTGTTTTGTTTTGATCTTTAAACCAGTTTATGGTCAGGTAAGCCACCAGTAGAACCACGGCTGATATTAGTAGTAAACTCATCTTTATTGACAGGTCGCTGATTCTGAAATATTGAAAACAGGTTACTTACAGGAACTAAACCCCTAACTCAATATTGAAAACACGAATTAGAATGTAATATTGGTCAATTACTATTGACAGATCATTGATTCTGAAACCGGTTGCGGTAAAATGTCAATCAATCAGGGCATAATCCACTCTAATATCTATCCAGGTTGATTATTTAATATTAATTAAAAAACAAAATCAAAATACCAGATAATGTCCGTGCTTGGATTAAATCGGATCTTTCAAAAAAAAGTCGCATCATTATATTTACGCGGACAACAAAATGGCGGCGGGTTTATGGCAAAGCAAGCAGCATAGATTGATTTAAATTTCAATTCCACATATCTTTGTAAATACTGATCGGAATTGGATCATTTTAGGACTGATATTCCTATTAGACATCTAACTTTCACAATATTGTGATTTCTATTGTTTATGTTTATAATAATGGATCAGGGGGCAGTTTCACAAAAGTTCGTAACTTTAAGAAAAAAAACTACGTTAAGAAAAACTTACGAAAAAGATACGAATTATTTACGCCGGTTTCACAAAGGCCGGCGTAAGTTTTTTCTTAACTTTTTCTCGTATTTTTTTTCGTAAATACGTCACGAATGGTCGTGACGTCATGTTGCGTCACTTCATTCACACTTCTGTAAACATTCCCACGGACTGAATGTTGACAATGTCGGCATTATAGCCGTTATGTTTGATTTGATCCTTACCTTTTGAAACATAAACGACGAAATGATATATTCCTTATATACGCTAAGATTTAGCGGTGTATTTATGAATAAAATGCTATTTTCATGCCTGTTGTTTACTTGTTTTTGTTTGCTACGTCATAGCGCGTGACATATAGTACCATACGTCGTCTGTAAGTCTGCCAAAAGCCGAAATGGAACCAAACAGGCGAAAACAAAATTGGAACCCAGCAGCTCTCGGTGTTTTAATTGAGGGGGTTGAACAGAATTATGGGATTCTGAAAGGAAAATTAAGCAGCAGTTTGACTAGGTCATCAAAAGACGGAGTATGGGAGAATATTTGTACAGTAAGTGTCGGTCTTTGCCGCGATAGGCTTACATACATGTAGTAATACCATTAGCCATAGTCTTGTTTAATGAAAACTAGTGTACTGAGATTATTTTTCCTGAGCTCCTGTTTGTGATCAAATACTATGTAAATGTTGTAGTATATGCTGGCTTACAACCGAAGGCCCACGAGGCCCTATACTTACTACGCTTCACTTCAGCCTGAGACTGCAAAGCCTAGGCCTATATCCTATAGGCATACCGGTACTAATCCGACCCTGGCCATTAAAGGGAATTTCATATCAATCGTGAAGTCTGAACACTAGTCTCAAATTGTGTAAATTTTACTTGCAGAGTGAACAGCGTTAAAACAAGACGATAATTCGTACGTTTACCTGAGTTTAGAATCAGCTGTTGCTTGAACATTAATGGAATGAAACCCTTTCCTGCAGACGAACAGCGGCTCATTTTCTCCCGATGGTGCTATGATGGCAACTTGTGTACCATCAATCGTTCCCACTACATTTGGGAAGCCTGCTATTTGGTGAAAACCTTCCTTTGTAGAATTGATATCTTCCATGGAATAGGGGAAATTTATTGATAATTTATCGTCAACACAGGTTGTTATTGCTAGTGAAACACGATAAATTACTCTAGACACTGATGGTACACTCACCCCATGTGCATCAGCAATGAGTTTTTGGAAGCTACCTGTGGCATAGTATCGTAATGCAATCAGGACTTGTACAGGTGATGACAAGGATTTCGATCGGTAAGTTGCGGTTTCGATATCATCATTAATACAGTTAATAACATGTAATATAGTGGTCCGATCAAGTCTGTACCGCGAAACTAACTCCTCATCTGTATGGGTGTCGAGAGGGTTTAATCTATCCCTGAATATTCTCTCTCGCCGAAGTTGCCGATCCGCATAAAGTAACAAGGCGGCCATTTTGTCAAAGATACGAAAAAAATTCCAACTTACGACAAGTTGAGAGTTGCCGTAGACTTTACGATAAAAGTTACGAATTTCGTAAGTTAAGAATTTTAGTGAAACGCGATTTTTACGTAAGTTTACGTTACGATAAACTTACGCAAATTTTTCATCGTAAGTTGCTTTGTGAAACTGCCCCCAGTACTTTAACTTAAATTTGAATTGAGTGTTCAAACGTTATATTAAAGCAAAACTTGGAACCTTGCAAATCGTTAATTATCATGTATATGCATCATTAAAGACAGTGTCTAGTTTTCTGGTGGGAGGTAAAACTGGATGGAAGGGTCCTATGAAGGGGGAACTTTACCAAGACAGCAATTGTAATTAAATTGTCAAGGGTTCCTTTACGTGCACGCCAACGTGTACACGGGACATCTTTCGTCCCATTCGACCGTGTAACTAACCAGGCCCCCCGTCTGGCATCACTGAAACCAGACTGGATGTCTCCGGGGGAACTTTTCTGCAATCACGGTTTTTCGGTTTTCGTCCCATCCGAACGTCTATACATTCCCGCACCACTGACAAGGGAAAACCACCCTGAACAATTACGGGAAATCTCCGGAGAAATATCTCTGCCAACACGAGATCGAACCCCAGACCTCCTGGTTAAAGAACCAGCGTCGTACTCACTGAGCTACCTTGGACCCCTTCATCAATATACAGGTAGAAGAATGAAATGTACTTTTAAACCAGGTGGTAAATCGAAATGGAAAGGGATAACTTGCTACTCCGAATAAACATTATTCACTATGGTGAAACGTTTAAAATTAACATTTAAAAGTAAAAATATAATGGCCATACATCACCAGTTTAAGATAGACTTTATTTTGTTATATTCCTATATATAACACCAGTTGTGTATCCATTGTTACGCTACAATAAATATAGTTCAACTGGACTTTATGGCTTTATTTAGGTCGCTATTTAGGCCATACAATAAAAATGCTCTGGTTCCCAGACTATCCTTCAAAAAAGTAAAAATCCTCCAAAAACTTTGAGCGGAATGATTTTGTTTAAAAAGGTTTAGTTATTGTATAAGTAATACAAGAATGTCAAGGATGAACACTGATCTCATCACCAATCTGAACGACAGATCCACCCTACCCGCAGAGAAGCTAGCTATATACCATTTAATCTTCGTACGTTAGTTACATGCGATCCAATCATCAGGTTATTTACGCTGCTTATGGTTACTTATTCTTATCTTAATATACTCTGAGCTCAATTCATGTTTAATACAAGGTCATTAACCTCTGCACTTTAAAAGTGTATGGTCTGACTATGGAAGCCTGTTACGCTCAGGTTTTTTCAATAAAATTATGAACCTGGTTAAATAATGACACGTTTTCGTCATGTGATAGCCTTTCAGATCCATATAGTAGCACTTTAATGTTTTGTTGTGTATGAGGTAAAGTGTCGAATGTACTATGGCGAGCATCTAAATACGAGGAACATATAAGGAGATAGTGATAAGGATCTTCTATTGAATTACCACATGAACATTCGGGAGTATTTGAAATATGTCTTGTATTTCGATGTGACGGTTGCTTTAGGTATGCTAGATTTAAAAAGGACAGCTAACATCGTGGATACATCAACCATCTTTTTGAGGTGATTTTAAATCCACACATATTCATATATTTTATTTGACTTTAATAATTTGGTTTTATCTTAAAAAACAAACAAACAAGAAATATGAATGACATTATCGCAGTGGGCGACGCCCGAACCCGACCCCTACCCCTACTCAAGAGACTTTAAGATGTACGGTTTATGAGGACTGATATATAAGTGGTCGTTGTCGACAGGTTTTTATATTATGAATATAATACGAATCAACAAATAAGTGGTCGCGATTAACAGGTCTGTTTAACATGAATATATGAATCAATATATAAGTGGTCGCTATTAAACGGTCTGTTTAAAATGAATCTAATACGAATCAACATATAAGTGATCGCTGTCTGCATTTGTTCTGTAAGGTCCAATATCATGTTTGATCTTTGGTCTTGGTATATATCTAGCTGCCGCCATCTCATAATATGGAGACTTAATCCCACCACCAGCTTCTTGGTTGTCAGTAGCACTAGAAAATTAAAACAATTTAATGAATTAGTTATCAAAATATTTGAAGAGAAATAAAATGTTTAACACCCCACTTTTCTGCTCTACGGAAATGAAATGGGGTTTTACGTCCTATATGCTGCTTCGATTTCTACACTGTACGTGTTACAAACGACGGAGCGCCGACGCCCGGGCAAACTTCCCCTCATAGCACACTGTGTGGCGTATGCCCGTCTTCATTAGCCTAGTTTAGGAGCAGAACAGTAGGACGTTAAACCCCATTTCATTTCATTTTACAAACGACGGACATGCAGTGTGTTATGAAATGAAATGAAATGGGGTTTAACGGCCTACTGTTCAGTGTGTTATGAGTGAAATTTTGCCATGAAAGGGGAGGTATACGCTTTACTCTTATTTGGTTATGGCAAGGGATTTAAAAGGGGCTGCCAATGGTATACCCGGGAAGTAGGTTTACGTACCACCCAAATAACTAGACACTGATCCTGATCAGGATACCAAGCTAAACAAATGCCGAGAAACTTGCTCCGTCAGCATCAAGATCAAACCCGCGACCTCAAACCCACACAAAAAAACCCAAGCAAATCCAAAACCAAAACTAAACTAGCCCCGCTCGACGTTCAATATATATTGATCCTTATTTGTGTGTGTAATAGCTTTATTTAACGTCCGCTTCCACAGAAGTGATATCGCAGACAGAAAAATGCCCGCCAAAGGGCACATTTAGCTCG